AAGGGTTTGAGTGAAGATTAAGAAAAACATAATTTTAATCTCGGAAAAGATGTCTATATTTACGGAAGAGAATTATTCCTCGTGGAACAAACAAGAAGAAATCCGTGCTATTGGATCACTGCTTACATCTGTCTTAAACGACCGGTCCCTAGAACGGTTGTACACTCTCCTACCCAGAATTCCTTGCGGCCGGCAGACAGCATTTGCTGGATCACCACTGCTCTGGATGTGTTGTTGATTGCAGGATGACAGGGCCTTAAATATATATACCGGGGTTATAGTATCCTTGTATATAGTACTGTGATACCGGTTGTCACCACATATGATCATGTTTGAATATTATATGATTTTACTGAGATTGAGCCTAGTTATATAGGCCTACGTAGATTACTTTTGATAAATATTTCAACCTGTGACCACAAGTCCTTGACGTCACGTTTCACATTCATAATAAATACGGGATAAATTTTCTCTAGATCTCTACAGCATTTACAGAATGTACAAATATCATCAACTAAGTTCACCACGAGTAATTCTATCTTTGTGTAGATTGTTCAGTAAATAAATCTATATTGAAAATCCAGTAGCTTACAGTCCTTAGTACATTTTCTGTAGATTTAGTATGAAAAAACATCTTTCAAATTAATAGGAAAGTGGAAAATACCATTCCAGTATTCTAATACTATAATGTTTCTGTCACTCTTGATTATTTTGTCATAAAAAATCTTGGATCCCTAGCTTTTTATCTGACAGAATGTCAAAAAAGAATTGTAGATGCTAAGTTGACTTAAATTTAATTATCTGTTTGCAGCGTTAGAAATTGGCACTAGTCCTATAGTCCTTGCCAAAGTGCCCAATGGTAAAGGTATCATAAGGACTAGTAGAAATTTGTCCTTTTTAAGGGTTTTGCTATATGTTATCATTATAAGGACTAGTGGACAAAAACTGTTAGTTTCTAACCCTGTGTTTGTAATGACAATTTTCCAAGCTTTAGCTTTTGATAGTCCAAACTTGTTCCTTTTATTTTGTATCTGCTCTTAAAATCTTCAAAGTTTGTACTACCATTTTTGTAAGAAACATCTCTTAAGTGGACTCCATGATGAATGTTATGCTTCATAATGTATAAGCATTCAAAAGGATGATTTAACCAGAGTGGTTGAACCATGATTTGTTCTCCATCATGATGTATATCATCATTATCAAACTCATGTTTCTATAAAATATGCCCCATGCAGTCATAAGGATTGTCCATACGAGATAAGCAGTCAACCATATTAGAGCTAATTAAGAATATGTGTCTTATGTGAATGATGTTATTGCTACCTGTATTCTTTAAAAGATTCAATGTCAATCATTCTAAGACCACCATCACTATATGCCAGAATCATGACTTTTCTTGTTATCTTATCCTTTTTGTCATTCCAAATAAATTTACAAAAACTTGATTTCATGAATAAATGTTCTTGGCAGGTTAGGTAGTGCAGAGAAAATATGTACTAGAGTAGAGACAGCCAAATTTTTTATAACTGTGATTTTCCCTATTGGTGTTAAATTTCTTCTACGCCAGTTGGCACGTATTCTGTATATTATATTTAATCATTTCTTTGTATTGATCACCCATCTTCTTTTAAAGAATGGTTCAGTTTAATACCTAAGATTTTAAAATCTTTTTTTTGTGCATGTCTAATTTTAAATCATTAACTAAAGTTATATTATTTCTCGACATTGCACCTATACAGATTGCTTTAATCCTCTCTACATTCATTTTAAAAGGCCAGACATTTTTTTAGAAGTTATTAATGTTTCTATGGCAGCATTTAGACAATTTTGAGATCCATCTGGAAAGAGTTGAGTATGGTCAGCATATTGTCCCCTTTATGTTCTAGGTTATTTAGTGTAATGCAGCGTTAGAAATTGGCACTAGTCCTATAGTCCTTGCCAAACTGCCCAGTGGTAAAGGTATCATAAAGACTAGTAGAAATTTGCCCTTTTTAAGGGTTTTGCTTTATGTTATCATTATAAGGACTAGTGGAAACTGTTAGTCCATAACACTGTAATGTCCTTTATGTGTGAGTGAGTGAGTTTGGTTTAACGCCGCTTTTAACAATATTCCAGTTATATCGCGGCGTGTCAGCTTAATGTGGGAGGAAAGCCCGAAGTGATGCAGGTCTCAGACGTTTACCACTTCGGTGAAACCCATGAGCACGGGTATGGTGCTGACAAACCTAGAAACATAATTGGGGCGAACCGGGATTCGAACCCACAATCATAGGTTTCTGGCGTGCCCAAGGGACGCAACTCTGCACAGCGAATCGCGGCGCCTTAGACGACTGGGCCACCCGTGCCCCCCCTTTATGTTAGAATTATCCCTGATCATTATTCTTAGTATTTTGACTACAAATAGGAATACAAGATACAGGGTCTCCTTGTCTACATCCCCTTTCTAACATAAAAAAGGATGAACGACCACAGATGCTGATGTATTATCAGTAAAAACATTCATCTGTTTAATAGTTTTTTTCCAAATCCGGTTTTTTTCTTATACTTGTTCAAAAAATTGTTTTGAGACTGTGTGAAAAGCCTTTTCAAAATCAGTTGATAACAGGAGGCGTGGAATTCTTCATACGTTATATAACACAGCAGTTGATCACTTGATGGTCGGTTGCCTGTGTTCATTTATCTGGACATCGGGCTATGTGTGGAACAGCGAGACTGGGCTGTGTTAAACAGGGTGGTCGTTAACTGACAGAGTTGTCTCCCATATATTCCGAAGAAGGGGATTTAAAATCTCATTAATCACACTTCCTCCTGTGAATACAGTGAACGGTACGAGTAAAATATTTCTAATTGAGCATACGCATACCTTTTTGTCATAGTTTTCCAGTTTAACTAGTGTGGGCTTGAAATTAAATGACTCTAATAAAAATGGTAGAGTATCAAAAGTAGCATCAACCCATGCTTGCCGTAAAAGGCGACTATGCTTGTCGTAAGAGGCGACTAACGGGATGGGTGGTCAGGCTCGCTGACTTGGTTGATGCCTGTCATCGATTCCGATTGCGTGGATCGATGCCCATGATGTCAATCACTGGAATGTCTGGTCCAGACTCGATTATTTACAGACCCCCGTCATATAGCTGGAATATTGCTGAGTGCGGCGTTAAACAACAAACCAACAACCAACAACAATTAAAAGTAGCAACTGATTTCTAACATCCGACAAATTTGGACATTCCACCAAATTTCATCACGGATTGAATTTCTAGACAATGTACATTTTCCCTTTCCTTAAATAATATTGTACCAACTACCAGTTTGAATAGTTGACCTGTGATTAGCGCGTTATTAACACAAATACGGAGGTTCGATGGTAATAATAGTAACTATGGTTCCAATGAAAGCATCTCCTTCCACATATTATAATAATGTGCTTGTACTAGTCCGGACTAATGCTGATTTTGTAGTGCTAGCCCACTGAGATACCATGCCGCAGTTTAACATGAATACACTCAACCACAGTATACTGACTAAAGCCGACTATTCCTTGTTTTATCCCCTCAATGCCGAGCACCCGTGGAGATCCGGGGTAGAATACCCATGCTTGCCGTAAAAAGTGACTATGCTTGTCGTAAGAGGCGACTAAAGGGATCGGGTTGTCAGGCTCGCTGATTTGTTGATGCATGTCATCGTATCCCAATTACGTGGGTCGATGCTCATGATGTCAGTCACTGGATTGTCTGGTGCAGACTCGATTATTTACAGACAGCTGGCATGTTGCTGAGTGCGGCGTTAAACAACAAACATAATGCCCAGCGCCAGGCCGGATAATCTTTCATAGTCTTTTGGAATCGAACCACCGTCCGTCCGCTCTCCGCGTGTGTGTTGTTTAATGACACACTTAGCAATGTATGATAGCTATATACGTCGGCGACCTGTAAATAATCGAGTCTGGATCAGACAATCCTGTGATTGATATTGTGAGCAACGATCCCAACATCGGGGTAAAATGACTACGTAATCAACAGTCAGCAAACCGGTCCATTTAGTAGCCTCTTAATTACGACCAGCATGGGTTGTTGGGGACCAATAATTATTCTAACCGGAATCCTCAAGGGGCCATTATTACATAATATGTTACTATGCTAAATAATACTTCAGCAATGTAATGTAGATTCACTGACGAACTAATGTCTGTGTGCTCCTGGATGATTCGTGTGTTTAGTTCGAAATCATATGTTGGAGGTAGAGGATGGTGTTCACGGCATCGAGGTAAGGTTTATTGCTTGCCTCCGAATCTCCTTGGGGAAATAATGCAATATTATCCTACATGTAACAGTCGATGAGTTAAATGTGACGAATTAAAAAAGAAACTCTTCGAAACAAATGATCGAACTGAAATCAAACAGATTTACATTCTTCATTCATACACTGAACAGAAACGTTAGGGAGGAATCATGAATATTTTGGAGAATATATTTACGAAATTATGTGCTCGGTCTTCTACGAAATAATAACCCACCCATCCACACCCCCCCCCCCCCCCCCCCCCCCCCCCACACACACACACACACACACAAATGTTCTTGATCCCTTTAAGTTGTTTTAAGTTTTGTTAATATTTATTTGTTAAACGTGAATTATCGTGAATTAATTAACTCCATATATCATAATTTTAGTCATTTAGTATTAGTCCTTTTCACTCAGATTTCCTGCAGAAATTAATGAAAAGTACATTGTACCTCAGCTTTTGGAAATATCCCACGACCATACAAACATCAAGCAATGAAGCATGACGATGTGGAGTTATTCACTGATGGCCAAAACCTGCCCCCGCAGGCTCCTTAAACTATAAATGCGTTCACTATAATTTCGACAATCGTGAATGCAAACCACTGTACTTTAGTATTCCTGTTGAGTAGTTCTGAACAAGTAATTCATTGTAATCCCATATGTGGGACGGGTGCACCTCAAGGCTACACCTATCCGGAGCGTGCTTTCCAACACTGGCCCCTATAACAGCAATGCAGTGCATGTAGGTCGGTAAACACTACCTACACAGACGCTAGGCAAGCAAGAGCTCCACGGCCTTCACGAGCGGTAGCAGACGATAGGTAACATCAAAATGGCGTCCGGCGATGTAACTGTTAGTCTTCGCAGATTTGACACAAGTCAGCCATGGGGTTTCAAGCTACAGGGAGGGACCGAATACGGCCTACCTCTTTTCATCGCCCAGGTTGGTATTTAACTTCATCCCATGCCGGGAGTGCGTGATAGAAGTTTTTTGAGTGAGTCAGGCATGGGTCCCGTTGTGATAAACCACAGAGGTGAGAGAGAGACGGTGTAAAAGCTGACAGTTCTAATCTAATACATTCACATCCGACACTTTTCGTTATATATAGTGTTCTATTTTGGTTAGAGTGTTTTAAATTAGTGGAATTCCCGACACTTAAATGAATGCGTATGGACAATTGGCAAATGCGAAACATTCGTTTTGAGTTAATTGTAAAGGAACATAAAAACATACACGCATGGTGAGCTGTTTCTGCGTTTCTCGGAATGTTCTCAACGCTTCCTTCGTAGATGGTTTTTTAACATGCAAGATACCGTGTCTACACTGTATGTTTTAATACTTATTAATTCGCCAGAAATGTTTCGGTATTTGGTAAAATATCCCTTTTTCAAGTATCTTTATAATGAGAAGGATTAGTCACTAAATCTACGTTTGCTTCGTTATGTAATTGGTGATGCGGCGCACCTGTTGGGAGGTCCGGTTCAGGTTACAAAACAAAACCAGCTGATTGAGAAAACATTACACCATATTCACTATTTATGGATTGAAACAAAGCCAAGGTCACGTCAAACCAATATTTTAGCTTATAAATATACACAGTTATTTTCTCCGTTACATACCTTTTTCTTATTTGGTATCATTGATGATCTCCGTATTGTTTATGGCCGTTATAGGAATTAATTCAGTATCATCACAGCTTTTGAGCATGAATTAATGGCTTATACTTTATATATGTGAGGGTCTTTTTAAGTACTAAATGAGTAATTTATTTTCCAGCCGATGCAGTGTTAATAACTGCGAATATGTTTGTATAATACATTCTAACATATTGGTTAATCGGCTGATGGCGAAACGGATCCGTTAATTAACAGATAATATACTTTCTCTCTCTAGTCCCACGTAAATGTAACTTAATGTTTAAACTGAACTTAATAAGAGATTTCTCCTTTATGTATCTAGCTTCGTCCTCCCCGTGAGTAAATAATGTTCGCTGTGAGTTGCTCCTCTTCCGCACTGCCGCTGCACTCGCGTACCTTCTAGACCCATATATAGAAAGGAATGCACGCTCGCGCCAAACACATCGTTCGGGTTACCTTGACCACGTGATACGTGGGAAGTAAAGCTCCGCGCAGCGGTAACTTGGTGCCTATAACTTTTGATCTGGAGTGTAGCGCGCCCAGTAATGGAGCTTGGGAGCATGCACACTATGTTTCGAGTTTATGCCTTGATACGTTTAATTGTTTACACGCATCTTTTGATATCAGTCTCATTCGACTAAAATATTTAACTCCGATTTGATACCTATCTTCACGCAGAGGTGCCGTGTCGGAGTGTAAGATATGGTTTAATTAATTAATATCTAACTTTAAATAGGAGATAAACATACTGTGTTTTCAGTGTACCTGAAGATTTAACCGCGCTTAAGTGAATTTGGAACCGAGCTCTCGCGGCCAATTGATGAATTACCGAGTCACCGAGACAGAATTAGCACCGAAATATTAAAAACAAAATTCTTTGGTGTTCAGTAAAGCCTGGATATAACGAACGTAAAGACACGACGGAATTCAGTCCGCCATATCCCGAGTACGTTACTCCCCAAATCGTGTTCATAATTTTATGTTGACTTGCCTGTTGGGGGGCACGGATGGCCCAGTCGTAGAGTTGCGTCCCTTTGGGCACGCCAGAAACCTATGATTGTGGGTTCGAATCCCGGCACATCCCGATTATGTTTCTAGGTTTGTCAGCACCATACCCGTGCTCGTGGGTTTCACCGAACTGGTAAACGTCTGAGACCTGCATCACTTCGGGCTTTCCTCCCACATGAAGCTGACACGCCGATATAACTGGAATACGTAAAAGATAAGAAAGAAAGATTTGCCTGTTGATTGATTACAGACACTGTAAATGACTTATAATTACTTTCCACGAGAGGTCAACGCTGAACTAGTTTACTTACGAAAACGTCAAGTCAGGTGTAAGATATTTGATTTATAAGATCTTTGAATGACCTATGTTTTGAGTTTGACCTCGTAGCGTCACAACACTAGTATCTGCACTCGTGACTAGCTTCGCTTTTCTTCTTAAATTATAACCAGAAACCAAAATATCAAAGTATGTATACTATTTAACTTTAAATGCCCTTGATTTAAACTTTTGTCTCATCAATTTCAAGGTATTAATACGTTTCATTTATATCTGTTAATCACGCAATAATCACTGTTGTGCATATCATGGCAAAAGATAATTACCCTCTTAATAATCGGGTCTGGAACAGATAATCCAGTGATTAACATCATGGGGGAATAACAAAATTAATTAATAATAAGTAAATAAATAAAGATAAATTTAAATAAAATATTAAAAAATATATGATTTATGTATGATATTTTCCTACATGTCACGACGTTTCACTAACAGACAATAGTTAATTCAGCCATTGTCTCCTCGCTTACCATGGCACCCTTACCAGAACAATAGGTCATGGCAAAAGAAGAAGACTCGGTGACTAGGTTAATTGCGTGTCATCGTTCCCCAACGGCATGGAACGGAATTGTATTTACAGACCATCCATGATAGGTATACAATTTTGGGGGAATATTTACACTACCTGTTTCAAATTGTGCAATACACATTACTTTGTCACGTGCGCCATCATCATACACTAAAGTGAACCCCGTTATTACGGACATTTTTCTTTCCGGACGATTACGATATCTAAAAATATACAAAGGACATTACTCCGTATCCATGATTCGTTAATCCGGACATTTGTTAATCCGAACTGTACTGTCCGTATTAACGAAGTTTCACTCTACGTTTACCAGGTCTCCCCCAAGAGTATCGCTGGAACCGCCGGGCTGCAGAATGGAGATGGGATCGTGAGGATCGGGGATGCGTGTGCAAATGGCTGGTCTCATGAAAAAGCCAAAGCCGAACTTATCCGGGCTGGCAACGATGTTGATCTCACAGTGAAGAGGTAATATGACGGGTACCCGGTGGGAAGGGGTGGTTAAGTTTCCTTTTGTTTCGTAACACGTAGTCATAAGGATTCCACATGATGTTTTTAACCCCTTACCCCAAAAGCCCGACAGTGGACTGTTTAGATGACCACACTTTTTATTAAAGGGATATTATCAGCTTAGAAATTGGCACTAGTCCTGTTGTCCTTACCAAACTGCCCAATAGTAAAGGTATCCTAAGGACTAGTAGAAATTGGCCCATTTTAAGGGTTTTGCTATATGTTATCATTATAAGGACTAGTCGACAAAAACTGTTAGTTTCTAACCCTGTGATATACATTTACCATATTTTCTCTGATTCATCACCAACAAAAGAATGCGAATACTGTACATGTTGGTTAATATTTGAAAAATTACTCATATTCAAGAGATATCAGATTGGTTCGATGCACCATCGAACATACTGTTAAGTTGTTTGAACCGACGCTCATGAACGCATCACATATGAGACCATAGATACATGACTCCAGATACACCATTTGACTCGTGCAGGATTAGCGTATAAAGTTTGGAAATCACGCGATAAGAATAAAGACAATGTGGTAACACTAAACTGATTGTTAGTGTTGTCATTAAGTTGTAGGCTCGTTGACTTGGTTGATGCATGTCATCGATCCCAATTGCGTGCGATGTTTATGATATTAATCACTGGATTGTCTGGTCCAGACTCGATTATTTACAGACCGCCGTCATAAAGCTGGAATATTGCTGAGTGCGGCGTTAAACAACAAACCAACCAACCAACATTGGAAAAATATCTTCTAAAAACATACCTCTCTATGTAATTCTATGGTTATCATTTTTTTTGGCGGTGAATATATATGCTGTTTTGTCACGATCCAGAACCCACGGATTGATATTCTTCAAAACTGACTGTAGTTCTGATCATGACATACAAATCCCATAAAATCATAATTGTATTTTTAAATGCTTAAGATAAACAATATAATGTTGTTTCATAAGTTTTTATTATTCTGAAGAATATATAGGTTAATTTTAATCAAAACTGCCCGAAAAGTGACTCATCCTTATCGCTAAAGTGATATATATATATAAGAACCACGCTTGCCGGCCTGCTCCAGACCTCGTTCACTTAGAGGGGAAGGCACTTGTCTAGGCTGTGTATATCGTTGCGTGCCACACTCACACAACAACTCGTTTTGCAAATGGACTCCACTGACGGACGGTAGGTTGTGCAGATGTGACGTTTTCAAAGCACTGAATTATTGCAGCATCTGGGACATGTAGTCCATTTGCAATTTATTGGATGCTTAACGAAACGATTTGTGGAAAACATTTGTTTATCAACTTTTACGCATCAGAATATAGTATGCTAGGTTGTAACGTGCATGCATGCACACGCCTACTATTATTATTATATGGGAGACTAGACAAGAAAATTGTCATATTAAATATAGGTAATTATATGTTCTGGAGACTAATCTAGGTCGTCATAATGTTGTAAATAATTTTATATGTCAGACAAGGCAAGATAGAAATATAATGTTGATTATGTACATGTATATAGAAAGGTTTTCAGGCGTTTGTGTTTTAGGGTGGTGAATATCCTGTATTAGGAATAAATATTGTCCTCAGCTCGTCAAGACTCATAAATATTATTCCTAATGCAGGATATTTACAATCCCGAGCGTGTGTTTCTTAGCTTCTATAATGGACATGTTTTTTCTCTCACAAACTGTGGAATGTGAGCATTAACATATTACGTAACAAACTCAATGATTAGTCATTTAGACGGTGACAAAACTGTACTCGTAAAAAAGCGCCAACTGACACTTGTTTTATAGACAATGTCTTAACCACCCTGTTGTCAACATTTATAATTTTTAAAGCATAAAAATAACTTTGTCAGTGATCGTCTTTCGCGGCAGTCCACCCGCTGAATTAAGTTATATATAAGTGATTACCCTTCATCACTGGAATGTCTGGTCCAGACTCGATTATTTACAGACTGCCGTCATATAGCTGGAATATTGCTGAGTGCGGCGTTAAACAACAAACAAACAAAACAAAAAACATCATAAAAAAGCTACTTAGTCCTTGCGACGTCACGTATGTTTTGTCCGTCTGGTCAATTTATATTTCAAGCAGAAACAACCCAAAATTTCGGAATTATTTCGGCGAAATCCAGCTTTCTTGAAGTTGGGAAAAGACGCCAACTGATAAAGCTTCGGGGGTCTGTAAACACAGGTGCTGAAACTGATATGCCTTCCGCCCTCGCTAAATTGCTTCGTTTTACTTTGTATCTACACGAAGAAGTTATAAAAGGTATCAGCTACATAATAACATACACCTGGACAAAGTAAAGCACCACCGGATTGAAACACATATTTGTAAAAGTTCAACAACCATCCGTGCACTGTCATGACAGTTGACACACGTGTTGCACGTGCAAATCACACATTGTAAGCCATATATTGGTGCACGCAAATCTTCACGTGGTCGATTTATGCCGTTTGTGGACAGAGGGTCAAACGCACGTTTCATCTCAAGTCATTTTACAGTCAATACAATGTTCGCGTTTGACACCCTACATACCCAGGTATGACGCTAAGTACATATACATATCGTCTTGGTCGTCAGTATTGTGCATGTCTTTGTTTGTTTGTTGTTTAACAGTTGTTTACCTGAAAAGAACACGAGAACATGTGGTCAAAATAGAGAATTGGATAGGGCATCATTTTATACAACCCAAGTGAGAATTGTTTGATAGACATTACTTAGAAGTTGACGGATGACAAAGTAGACACAATTTATGGATAACAACTTCTTTAATACTGTAAAGGCGACGTTTCGGTATAGATCCTTATACGTTTCCTTGCTTGACAAACGTTAAAGGGATCTATACCGAAACGTCGCCTTTACAAACAAACAAACAAACAAAAATGTTACTATAAAGGCGACGTTTCGGTATAGATCCCTTTAACGTTTGTCAAGCAAGGAAACGTATAAGAATCTGTACGGAAACATCGCCTATACAGTATTAAAGAAGTTGTTATCCATAAATTGTCGTAATTGACAGTATGGTGCGTCCCGTAACATTCGATTTTGTCAAGTGGGATTACAATCGTGACAATGTTCATGACAGATTCTGCTGTGTCGGATCAAAATCGTAACAATGTCCTGTGTTGTCAAGACGGTGTCCTCTGTATCGGGACGCTGTCGATCGTGATGAACTGTTCATGAATTGTTCATTGCCGTTTCTTGTCGATTGAGTCCAGGTTGCGTCCAGATCTTGCCGAATGCGAACCGTCTTTGTCGGTTAATATCACTGTCCGGTCACTGTCTGATCTCTGTCGGATCGCATTCGGGAAATTCGGGACAGATTCGGTCTTTTTTTACCTTGCGGAAGATATACAAATCGGACCAGATTCGGCTTGAGAACGGGAAAATCGGGACGAATTCGGCTGACTCGGGACGCTTCCTGAACAATATCTGATTGTTTGTGAATTTCCCGCCATTGTCCTAATGCCAGTTCTTTGACCTGAATATAAACAAAAAACACATTTATTTAAAACCCGTTGTTTATTCAGAGGTGCTGTGAACACGGCTGACCCAGCAGTGAGGGCCGCAGGACAGCAGGCAGCGTCCCCCAGGGTGGAGCTGGACGAGGGGAGCATCAACCCCCACATGAACGAGGGGTCCGCCTACAGGGACGTCAAGCCCAAGACATACCAGATCCTGGAACAACAGTTGTCAGGAAGCACGCCCCCTCCTTCCGCCCTGGGGCGAGGCAAGGGGCGGCAGGCCGGAGGAGGGGGTGGCGGTGCGGGTAGGTGTACATTCCGATTCAGTGTCAGATTTGCTCATACGAGTGAGATTGATTTGGTCGAACCAATAATATAATAAACACACTAATGTGAAAACTATTGATATAACTTTTAACACTCTTTGGTGTACATTTGTCCAATTTATGAAAAAAAACTGGGCGGTCTCTGTGGAAATGAACACTATATTCATATATCACTTCCAATGTTTAAAGAACATAGCTTGCTTTACTTAAATGGCTTTTAACTATAAAATACCATTCTACCATGAATTTGGAACCTCCTTGATTCTGATTGGTCAGTCTAATTGGTCACGGGTGGCCCACTCGTCTAAGGCGCCTTGATTCGCTGTGCAGAGTTGCATTCCTTAGGCACACCAGAAACCTAAGATTGTGGGTTCGAATCCCGGTTCGCCAGATTATGTTTCTTGGTTTGTCAGCACCATATACCCGTGCTCGTGGGTTTCACCGAAGTGGTAAACGTCTGAGACCTGAATCACTTCGGGCTTTCCTCCCACATTAAGCTGACACGCCGTGATATAACTGGGATGCTCTTAAAAGCGGGGTTAAACCCAACTCGCTCACTAATTCAGAAAAGAAAAGGTTACACTGTAAGCCATGTGGTTTTAAGAAGCAGTTATTTGCACTCACAAATTTGGGCCCAACCATTTTATAATCTGGGTGGGTGGCCCCGGCAGGAGATAAATTGTCATTTTAGTTTTCTGGGTTTAAAAAAATTATAACTAAAGTTAAATAAGCAGTCATAAAAAAGGTAGGGGAAAATGTATTGTAAATGCCAAATAAAATGCATGGCCTCACAATTCCATAGATTTAAATATAAAACAATGTAATATAATAATACCAACAGCCAAAATGAAGTATGGAGTATAATGCTGTACTCCTCCCTGCAAATTGTTTGTAAGGCTAAAGTAATTATGAGTGTCTGAAGGCAATGAAATTATTAAGTCTGACCGCCCTATCCCAATTTTAGGTAGTTGTTTCGACAAGTCATCATCTGTATCATCGCTGAACCTACACTAACCCATTCTTGTGATCGCAAATTACCGGTGCTTGGTTTTCATTAACATTTTTACCTACCAGTCAAACGTGGACATAAGGGAAAGAGTAAGGGAGATAACTCGACTTAGCTAGAAACCAAAGCCACCGCTTAATAATGGATATGAAGGCATCCTTTCCATTAAAATGAATTTGGTAGGGCTTTCTTTTGCATGTCAGTTTTTCGATGTTGGAATTTCTCACAAACTCGATCCTAATTAATGGATGAGACTGGGCCATGCCAACATAGAGGCTGGTTTGTGACTCGCATTCTGATTGGTACGTTTGACCTAGTAGCGTAGCCAATCAAATTGGCAAATCAAGGGACAGTAATTTTCGATTGCGAGAACCAGGGGAATGGATCCAGGGATTAGTGTAGGTTTACCAAAATGTTAGCCCTGGTGATAGAGAGGATGTCGACAAGTCCCAGAATCCCCAGGATGCAAATGTTATCATGTAATCTTCATGTTTTGTGCACCCTAAAGCAAGAAATATAATTGGAGCTCATTACATTCCAGGACCGTCCTCCATTTTTGATCGGAAGAAGCAAGAGCGGTCTGGCTACCTCCAAGCCCAGGGCAAGACGATTCAGAAGGCTTATGGTGAACAATAAAAAGCAAAGCATGTGATATGTAGACATCAATGGCGGAAGTGTTTTCTTGGAATCGGGGCTCTAGATCTATTGCCGTTCTGAAGAAATCGTTCCACTTTGAGGACTTCTATGGTGCAATTCTCCACAAGGGATTACCATGACAATAACTTTTATATTCCCTGCATAATGATGGAACAATATTATGTCGGATGTTGAGTAATGGTTCCATTTATCTCCCCCCAACAACCCTACTAGCCTACCCCCACACCACTCCCTAGGGTAACGTGTACACCTTCCCTATTTAGAATCTCAATGCATATCTAACCATTGTCCATGTAATGCGCACATCAATGTAGGGGTCTTGCAGGGAGTCTATATCTTTTATATATTCTCCCTGGCTCTTAGAAGGAGTTTAAAGCTTGATGTTGAATATAAAAAAATATGTCCTGAAGATCAGGAGCGGGATATCAAACTTTCAAACTGCTCCCTCAATAATATAGTCATAATTGATTGTTTACATCATAGGGAAGGGGACACACTTCTACATTGTACTTTGAGTACAGTAACATGATCTTTCAAAAGCTTTTGGCGAATGTGCCGTAGCTATTTAAAGCATTTGCTTGTCAAGCTAAAAACCAAATCTGATACCTTACATGGGTGTACACAATATTGCTAGAAGCAAAGTAACATCATGGTCGTTTACTCACTCAAAAATTCAAAAGACTTAATAGCTTGAACACGTCGCAAGGGAATATCTCTTGAGAGTCCATTCTCAAATATATCCTTTATCATCCAGGGTAAAGTATCTCCACCTTATGATAAACAAACAGCATTAGGAATTGGCATTAGTCCTATAGTCCTTGCCAAACTACCCAGTCGTTAAGGTATCATAAGGACTTGTAAAGATTTGTCGTTTTTAAGGTTTAAATGTTTATTGTAACCGACCCGTGAAGATCCGGGATAGAATAGGTCTTCAGCAACCAATGCTTGCCGTAAAAGGCCACTGTGCTAGTCATAAGAGGCGACTAACTGAGTTGGTTGATGCATGTCATTGATCCCAATTGCGTGGATCGATGTTCATGATGTTAATCACTGGATTGTCTGGTCCAGCGTTAAACAACAAACAAACAAACAAAATTTATTGTAACCGATTGGAAATATAGTACGCTGGATAATCGCGGATATAATAGTGCCAGATTTGGCCCCAGGACGAGTCTCTGTAAGTGGGGTCCACACAGAAAGGCGCTATCACGGAAAATGTCACTTCATTGACACTTCATGCATTAAATTCATCACCAATCCCACCACACAACCTGCTTTATTTTATAGTTAGCACCACTCCCCAAATAGTTTTGAATAATGAATTTCCTTGTTTTATATGTGTGGTTGGTTGTTGTGTTCTGCAATTACAGATTATTCAAATATATTTACAAATATAAGCCTGTTATGATACAGTCATCCCCCGATATAACACAGAGGGACACAGGGAACAGTGGGGTATCACCAGGGAATTCCCATAATATGTATAAAGTGACACTAAAAAGTTGTTCGGTTATTGGAACCTAAACCACAAACAGAAAGTAACATTTGATGGTTTGAATTATTTTTATTTACTTTATTAATTAATTTTATAAATGATAATTAATCAAATGCATTCTATATATTCTGTGATTACAACAAACACCTTGTTATGTGAGAAGTAAATCCATTCACATATTATCGTCAAAATATCAGTCAATTAAACAAAATATTAAAGAAGTGTGGTATAAGTTTTATATAGACCTGATATACCAAGCCCAATCCTGATCTCTCTAGCGTGATAATTAACATGACTGTTTAGGGGGATAATGTGTCATGACAGTTTGGGGGGATAATGTAACATGACAGTTTGCGGGGATAATGTGTCATGACAGTTTGGGGGGATAATGTAACATGACAGTTTTGGGGGGATAATGTGACATGACAGTTTGGGGGGATAATGTTACATGACAGTTTGGGGGATAATGTGACATGACAGTTTGGGGGGATAATGTTACATGACAGTTTGGGGGGATAATGTAACATGACAGTTGGGGGGAATAATGAACTTTGGAATAAACTGATTGGAGGGTTCCTTGGAGTTTGTAATATCCGGAGTTGACTGGAATTTTTTTAAATGTTGTATTAAATGAATATGTTGACTATTCATATATTTTATAAAAATGGCGTGCCTATAAAATATTAGGTCATTAAACTTAAACAGTCCTGGAGCAGTTTAAGTATAGGATAGAGCATTGTAAGTCTCAGGTTGTGATGTACAATAAGTATATGTGTGAATATCACTTCTCTTTTCCTTGTTAATAACTGTCTTGAACAAACATGTACATATGAATTCAATATACAATGGAAACGGTTTATTTAAACATAAACATTTTAAACAAAATAATGCAAATAATTTACACATATTTATTTTTTGCAGTAAATTGCAAGTGAGTGTGAAGTGTCTTGTCTACCAATCATGCAAAATCCAGTTTGGCAAAATCTAATAAACTCAATTAATAAAAATTGACATTCTCCGAGTATATTGACCGCCATATGAAACTAATCAGAATTAAATGTAAATACATGTAATACATCCCACGTTGAAACTACTCCACGAAGCCCTGGGTTTTGCATGGTGTACATACCTATGTTGCTTGTTTCTTATACACCTATAGTGTTCATCTGTCTGGAATTAATTCCAGGTTCTTGCTATGTTCTTGAAATCTTTTCATGCAATAAATATCTTTATCAGCTATTACTTTGTCTTCATATTACAGATCAATATTTCTTGGACTGTCGGCATGGATTGTTGCTCATAATATCAATCACTGGATTTCCTGGTCCAGACTTGGTAATTTTAAGGCCACAGTCATATAGCTGGAATATTGCCGAGTGCATCATTAAACAACACATACACCTATTACTAAGACTGTGTTCATCATAAGTAGGCGTGTGAACCAAAGTGATGGGGGTCTTAGACGTTAACCATTTACAACCTTACAAACTTGTCCAGGCATCCGGTCATACAGGGGGGTTGTTACTGGAGCAGGAGCTCAATACTGTGAATATGGTAGCTTGAACATTGCCTGAATGCATCATAAAGCAACAAGCAAACAAACTGACACCTCACAATTCAACACTTCACAAAACGTCAGTGGGCACAGGTGGCCCATTTGTCTAAGGCACTGCAACTAGCAGTTGCGTCCCTTGGGCACGCCAGAAACCTATTGCCCCAATCATGTTTCTAGGTTTGTCAGCACCATACCCATGCTTGTGGGTTTCAACAAAGTGGTAAAAGTCTAAGACCTGCATCACTTTGGGCTTTTCTCCCACATCAAGCTGACACATGTGATATAACTGGAATATTGTTCAAAGCAGCATTAAACCCAACTCACTCACTCACTCTCAAAGCAAAAGACAAGTTTGACAAGAAAACTCTTAAGATATGTACAGAGCATTTGTTGTAGCTTCTGTAGTGAACTAACAGTTTACTGCAAGGTTAAAACTGGTAATGGCTGCATAAACAGCACCTCGTGATATACCTCTGGATATCCATCCAAACATAGTGCAACAACACTCATAGAAGATCATCTTTTATTTCCTATTCTTGAAATGCAGTTCAAACTTCTCATTATCTGGGCTTCAATCCACAAAGCATTTGTAGGTCTACGACCATTATAACGTGACAATGCATCATAGACTTACAACTGTCGGAGAGCTACAAACACTCAAGGCCTGTACAGCAATTCTAGTAGATTGACAGAATACATACCAAAACAGCTTCAACTATATAAAAGACTAGTGTATCTCCTTGATATTCTGCATCGTTATGGCTAATGAGAAGCATATTGCACAGACAGACAGTCTTTCAAAGAGATACAAATTGATACAAGTCCATGACCAGCAGATCCTTGTGTGACAAAGAGAGGCAACTCTGCACAGCAAATTGCAGCCTCAGATCACAAAGCTAGCCATGCATACAACAGGGCTTTGCAAACCTTTTTCAGTAGTCATGTGTGGAACTGACAGTTTTCAAATAATATCCAACAGCTTAAAGTGACCCAATTGACTGATTACAAGCTAAAGCCACAGTCTATGGTAATGTATGTGTGACCCACGGGGATTCCGGGTAAAAATATAGGTCTCCAGCAACCTTTGCTGGTCGTAAGAGGCGACTAAATGGATCGCAGTCTTCATGACTTGCATGTCATCATACCCCAATTGCATGGATCAATGCTCATGATGTCAATCAATAATTTGTCTGGTCTAGATTCGATTATTTACAGGCCGACATCATACAGCTGGAATATTGCTCACTGCGGGATCAATCAATCAATCAATCAATCAATTGATCTGTACAGTTGACGTTTTCACTCATGGCTGCACCACCCATTATCAGCTCAATGAGATGAACATGCTATTTGACAAGGACAGACAAATATTCTCTAGGCTAAAAGAAATAATAGTCTTGGTTATCAGGCACCACCCGCATCATCAGAAAGTCTGCCGCGCGTTTCATTTCCATTTTTTAAAAAAAATTAAAAATCCTGATACTAAAAAACAATGCGATGCAATATAGCACGTAGTTACTTCCCTTTACATGCACAGGGAGCCCCTCTCCCAGATTGTTTGTTTGGTTACATACTAGTTTTAATAATCAAAAAAATAATAAATAACCACCACCACGCACTATATTTTCAAAAGTCATTGCCTATATTTTTTAAGCCCCATGTATTTGTTTCAGATGTATCACAGAGATGTAGATGTGCTTTATGTATTTCTTTCGGAACCCAACAAATATAATTTCCCCACGAGCTAGATTGCCCCTTCATTTTGAAATTGATAAAACACTTTTCAGTTTCTGAATTCCCAAGATTATTTCACCCGTTGGGCATGTCTCTGTGTTCATTTTACATATGTGTTTGTTAAGTTTACTCTTGTGAAAGTATATTCATCACTGGCTCATACAACAAACATATTTGCAAAAGGATTTTGAAGTGTCCCCTTCAGGGACCAGGGTCCATTTCAACAAAGCGATCATACATCTACCTTAGGACTGCCATAAGTACATGCTGCAGTACAGGACTTACGACGTCGTAGCTACGATCGTTTGTGAAACGTACCGTATTTTAACCGTACCAATAAAATTTTAACTGCCATGTACTGCTAAGAAGTAGGCAATCAAGTGTTTCATAACTCCTAGCATTGTGGTATGATTTAACTATCAGGGTCTAGATTTTCGAAACGATTAATCTTAACAACTTAGGTTTAAGATAAAATACATTTTCGAAACTATCGTAAACCTGTCGCAGATCGTACAGGGCTACGATACCTATCGTTACTCTGACAGAGAACTCATTTGTGTTAGAGATTGAAAAAGCGGCCAGGGTGTTCCCAAGTGACGTCACGGGGATTTCCCAGCCGCATACAACAACATGGAGAAGTGACACGGAATTCATCATCACATTGTCAGGTCACACTGTTTAACACGCAACTATTTCAGTGACATTCCGTACACTCCTACATATGTCCTACATGTAGACGTTTTGTTCTGATGATAAAAGATGCCATGACTACCCGAACACAAATAGCATTCCTGTGCCATGGAAAGGCATTTTTCAAACCCAATAAATGTTATAATCAATAACGTAGTGTTACCACAATATAGCTATTAGAATTGAAATAATGTGCAAAAAAGATACTTCACTATTTTCCCTTCAAATGATCCTCTCGCGAGTGCGCATAACTTTATGTAAACACATCGCGTACAAAGTCAAGGGGGGCGGTCGGGTAGCCTAGTGGTTAAAGCGTTCGCTCGTCACGCCGAAGACCCGGGTTCGATTCCCGACATGGGTACAATGCGTGAAGCCCATTTCTGGTGTCCCCCGCCGTGATATTGCTGGAATATTGATAAAAGCGACATAAAACCATACTCACTCACTCACAAAGTCAAGGACGAAAGTAAGGGATGTAGCATTGCACCAGGAGTGGTTGTTGTTGACCCATCAACAGATCCGACGTCTGACTGGGGGCATGAGACGTAGGGTGGAGTGCGTCATCCGGGCACGTGGCGTTTACACCCGCTACTGATCTGTTTCAGGTGTCATGTCAAGTAGAGACGTCAAGGAACATTTTCACATGAAACATCAAACGTAATTCGTTTACTTAATCCTGCAGCCGCATACTTTTTGTAGGTATTGTCTAAGGTCAAACACAGTACCTGTGTTACCATTATGCTTTTGTCAGTAAATTTCAGTCACAACTCACCAATATCTTCTTTATTTGTTGTCAAATGTTTGTTCTATCCGATGACAATGGTATCGCCCAGCTCCTGTGGTCAGTCATCCCATGCCATGATGTTTGCCATTTGTCATGGTTCAGAAATAGGGGTGTGCTTAACTTATTTCTTTGAGTATATATAGGGGAGCACGGGTGGCCCAGTCGTCTGAGGCGCCGTGATTCGCAGTGCAGAGTTGCGTCTGTTGATAATAGTATCCTTATTAATAATAAGTCCAAGATTGTTAACTTTAGAAATGTAAGCATTCATAGAACAACAGCTTTTTTTAACATTGGTAACTCTGTTTTAGACATTGTTGATTGTTATAATTATCTTGGCCTACTGCTCACGGAACATCTTGACGACAATGCTGTGGCAAAAGCAACAGCTAAGTCGGCTAACAGAGCAGAATGAGGTCTTCTTATATGTACGAGGGAGGTATGCAATCCACGACTAATTCCAAATTGTATGATGCGATGGTTTGGTCAGTCTTGAGTTATGGGGCATCTATTTGAGGTCATCGTGACATTTCTACTGTAAATGCCGTTCACCATCGTGTTTTGAGATCTTTCTTAGGATTGGGTAAATAGACAGTGGATGTCCCTTAGGTTCAATAAGTATGTTTTTATGTGGTCTAAACGGTATGCTGGTGGGCATGTGAAAAACCGGAATTTTCGTGTGAGGGCAAAGTTGAACGAATGGGGTCTGAATATTTCTGAGAATGTTGGCGTGAAAAGAGTAGTTGTATGTGTGCATGATATATGCATGGGAAAGTATGTGTCTTATTGGAATGAACTGTTATGCAAGCCTGGCGGAAGAACGGGTGGTAATAAATTACATACGTATGGAATGTTTAAAGATGTGTATGGGTGTGAATGTTATGCAGGTATGTACATGTTTTCGTTCTTACCGCTCTGCCTTCTCCAAATTTAGATCAGGTACTGCTCCTCTAAAGTTGGAAACAGGCAGATATACGAATATGAAAGAGTGTGTCATGTATTGCTTGATTGCCCTGGGTACGATGATTTGCGTTAAAGTTTGTACGAAAAGGTCAGTTTTAGCTATCCCAACTTTTTAGAGTTATGTAATACTGATAAACTTATTTTACTTTGTAAATATTATGTTTATTTTAAAGCCAAAACCTGCTTTTCAATCAGTCTCCAACGAAGAAAAATTAGTTTATATGGTGAGTGAGTTGTTTTACGCCGCTTTTAGCATTATTCAAACAATATCACGGGATACACTAGAAATGGGCTGCACACTTTGTACCCATGTCGGGATTCGAACCCGTATCTTCAGCGTGATGATCGAACGCTTTAACCACTAGGCTACCCGACCGCCCCAGTTTACATGGCTAGTGACGGGTAGTATATTTTTTTATACCCATTTTACACAAATATATTTGTGCTGTATTTACTGTGATATATTATAAAACTCTCATAACCGTTAACGGATTTATTCTGACTTGACGATGTGCTGGAGCTTCCGGTGACTAAATCAGTGTTCACTTTCAGCTGCTTTTCTCTAAACACCCTCATAGTCCCCGGGCACGTGCTTGTGGCTTGCCTGGGGTTTCGGGAGCAACCATTTGTTTTGGGAGGGGAGTGGGGATATTTTCTAAAATTGTTATCTTGCCCCTATTATACTAACAAAAAGATCTTATCTTGTTGGCAGTATTATTGAAAGATCAAGGTGTCAAATTGCATGTTAATGTGTGTGTTGGAAAAAGTAATTTAGCTCCTAAACATTAATTAAATGCAGATCTCAAACCAATCAAGCTTCCACTCCCCCCACCCCTTGATAACAAATGGTTGCTTCCCTAATGGCGTACCTGAGCGCATGGACATCAGCACAACTGTATCGTTGTCGTTTATCGCTTTGCTCAATCGCAATTCGCATAACATAATTCCCCGGCAGCAACTATATGTTCTCCATCTTTCAGTCACTTAGGTTGACCCGCAGGTCGGATCCCAGGGACCCAGGTACCAGAGGCACCACAGATACCCCCAGGACCCCAGGCCCAGGGATTACAGGCTCGGAACCAAACGCCGTCATCGAGGATGTCGTCCACATCGTCAACACCTTTTGCCACCCCGAATGACGACCATACCAGCAGCAACTAGACGGACAGCAGTCGCACGTCATCGATCGGGTGGCGACGCCAATGAATGTGAGTAGACACCATAGTTTGTATTTAACATTTCTGCTTCAATACATTCAACCCGTTCCACAAGTTTTATACATGCCTTCTGGTTTTATCCACGCCTACTGGTTCTATACATGCCTACTAGTTCTATACATGCCTGCAGGGGTGGTATAGCCTAGTGGTTAAAGCGTTCGCTCGTCACCCCAAAGATCCAGGTTCGATTCCCGACATGGGTACAATGTGTGAAGTCCATTTCTGCCGTCCCCCGCCGTGATATTTCTGGAATATTGCTGAAAGCGGGGTAAAACCATACTCACCCTATACATGCCTGCTGGTTCTATACATGCCTACTTTGTCTTGCTCCTATGTTTCATGAGTATATTATGGTTGTATCTTTCTCAAAATTGTGTGGGTGAGTGAGAAGGGTTTTTACACCGGTTTCAGCACCGCGGGCAAACCTACCGTATTCGACGTAATAAGCGCCCAGGGCGCTCTCAAAATTAGAAATAGGGGGCTCTTATTAGAATATTATTTTGGTGAAAAAAACAGAGTTGAAAGATAAATTTCGTGGTTTATGGTGACAGCCTGAAGTGTTTATGTACGACAGATATATTTTCCCAGAATTTAATGGCCCATAATCAAGGGTCCATATAACACATGAGTGCGTATTATACGCGAATAAATAAGTCTTGTGCACATTGATCAATCGGAAGGGGTGCTAATTGGGATTGTTCACCAGCCAATATATTAGCAAATGTCTCTGTGGGCGCTTATTAGAGCGGGGCGCTTATTACGTCGAATACGGTATATCAACATGTGGAACCGAGCATCTATCAGCTTATTAGGTGAACACTTTAACCACCAGGGTAACCTGCCGCCTATCAGAGATTGTATCCCAACTTCATCTGACAGAGATCTATTTAATTGTATTAATTCCCATTTAATTATTGTTCGAAATAGAATTATTAAATAAATTTTAAATATATGTTTTGTAATTAATAAATGATCTTTATAGACTTGGTAGAAGGATATAAGTTACCGTATTCGACATAATAAGCTCCCACGGTGTGTTTGCTAATATATTGGCCAGTGAACAATCCCAATTAGCACCCTTCCCATTGATTAATGTACACAAGACTTATTTATTCTTGTGTAATACAGACTTGTGTGTTATATGCACCCTTAATTATGGGCAATTAAGTTCTGGAACAATATATCTGTCCTATATAATTATTTCTGGCTGTCAGCATAAACCACAAAATTTACAATCTTTCAACTTTCACAAAAATAATATTCTAATAAGAGCCCCCTATTTCTAATTTTAAGTGCTTCCTGGGCGCTTATTACGTTGAATACGGTAACTTAGATTGTTAGTGGCTGTACCCTTTATGGGGGTTGAGGTAATGTAAAATGATTGTCCCCCGGCCACGTTTTTAACCTTAGAATATGTGTTCATTTAACTTTTGCTAAATTTGACATAAATTTGACAATAATCACCAACAACTGAAGGGATGATGTAAATCCGGATGGGGTCCATGCAGGTAGCAAAGGTACTGTAAGTCCCCATTGACCCTAGGATGACTCTACAACAGCTGCTGGCGATCTATAGACCTCTTTTATTATGTATTGGTACTTTTTGTTTATCTTTTTTTATGGTTGTATGCTAGTTTTAAATATTAATCTGTATTCTAGTTTTCTGTCTATCGATGACAGGTTTTTATTTAATTTAAATATATGTATTCTTAACGTATAACTTCTTGTCACGATATGGCTGAAATATTGCCAATGTGATGTTAAATAATAAATATTAACTCACTCACTCACTGTATCCCAACTGGGTAGATTGATGCCCATGATGTCAGTCACTGGATTGTCTGGTCCAGACTCTATTATCTGCTTACCCCTGTCATATACCTGGAATATTGCTGATTGTGGTGTTAAACAACAGACAAACAGGTGGTTATCCAGGACAGACTTCAGAGCTCCAGATAAGCTTTTGGTGTTGTGGGTATTTTACCCATGCATTTTAAAATCATTGGGTATCAGTAATTCTACCGGGTATTCAAATTTCTGTTACCCACTAGTTTTTACACATGTGGGTATTTAAGTTAAATATATTTAAAAACACTATTCATCTAGTCCCTGCAAACTGGTGTCGTGTGGGTTCGAGAGCTTTATAGGACTCTAAAATACCAAGATACTTCAACAAGAAAGTGTGATGGCAAATGATCATGATGTAACTGTCATCGTGGAGTTTGGCAAGGTTGACGGAATGCCCCTTTATAATTTCAAAATAAGTTGCTGATTTGCTAATCGAATACGCAGGGTTACTTCACAATATTTTGATGATACGCACAAGTTTTATTTTTGTAGCGTATCTGTAATGTTCGTTGCGTATTTGAATGCTTGGATTATATTTTACTGTGTATTTCTGCATTTCTGATCAGTATTTCATGCAGATACGCAGCTTATCTGGAGCTCTGGACTTCCACCCGCATGCCCCCTTCAAAAGTTACATATGTATGCGTTGCTGCTCAATCCTTTTTACTATATATATTTTTGAGGGGTGGATACAGGCAGAAATCTTACCGAACCGCCTACTGAAGAAGGAAAACGGGCGACTGAAGGCAAATATAAGTCAAGATACAAGATGTCCACAGCAGCGACAATATCTACATCAGCGGCAGCAACATCTACAGCAATGACAACATCAACAGATTCAGCGACAGTGATGGCAGTAATGGCAGCAACATCAGCGACTTCAGCGACTTCAGTCACACTGGTGTGCCAGATGGTGCCATCTGTGAGTATACAACATTCGGCTAGTTAAATATTATTGGCAGTTTGACCCGTGAAGATCCAGGTTAGAATATATCTTAAGCAACCCATGTTTGCCGTAACAGGTGACTATGCTACTCGTAAGAGGCGACTAACGGGATCAGGTTGTCAGACTTGGTTGATGCATATCATCGTATCTGAAATGCACGGATTGATGCTCATGATGTCAGTCACTGGATTTATTTCGCTACAGACCACTGTCATATAGCTGGAATATAGCTGAGAGTGTCATTAAACAAACAAAGAAACAAATAACTCCAATGTGCTGTCATCCGTTCATGAAATAATCTGATGTCTGACAATAGTATGTGAGGCTGCGCCATTGTCACATACGGGGGAATGGGTGGCCTAGTCATCCAAGGCGCCCCAATTCGATCGCAATTCGCTGTGCAGAGTTCCTTAGGCACACCATAATGTGTGTTCAAATCCCGGTTCGCCACGATTTTGTTTCAAGGTTCTCAGTGCTATGCTCGTGGGTTTCACCAAAGTGGTAAATGTCTGAGACCTGATAACACTGTTTTTTTGTTGCACGTTGTCACAGTTTTAGTTTCTAACGTTTGGAAAGGGAGGTAATCAACACATCCACCAAATCTGTGCTGGAAAGCCTGGTGGTTAAACTGCTCGCTTGTCACACAACATATGGTATGTTATTCATGCTTTGAGCCCAATTGTGTCCCCTGCCCTGTTATTGGTGGAGTAATCCTACCCCACAACACCCCACCCCACTCACTCGATCACCCCACCCGTGAAGATTCATGGGAAGAATAGGTCTTCAGCAACCCATGCTTGCCGTAAAAGGTGACTATGCTTGTCGTAAAAGGCGACTAACGGGATCGGGTGGTCACGCTCACTGACTTGGTTGATGCCTGTCTTCGATCCCAATTGCGTGGATCGAAGCTCATGATGTTAATCACTGGATTGTCTGGTTAGTACGGAAATCTCTTCCAAGAAAATCATGGCATTATGAAAAAAAATGTTGTCGAAAGAAACACATTACATGATTATATTTAACATCAGATTTCTATCCAATCATCTGTCAGGAAGTTAAGTGTATGTTAAGCAAATGCCACGACAAGTGAAAATATAAATTTATTGATGTTTCACTAGTTCATTTTGAGGTACATTCGTCTTTTCAAAAACTAAATACGTTCGTTTCGGTGCTGGTCCCCTTTGATAAGCACCAGAAAGGAAGATGAGCATTTAGACCTGTGCATTCCAGCTACACACAACCTGTTAACTGGTCATTGCTAGGGGAGGTTACTCTATTTGACCCATGTCACGAGCTAGGTTGCGCTCATATCCCACCCTTTGGACAGCCATATTCAACAGGTGAGGACACGTGAGACAGAAATGGATGTAATACGATATATATTTTAGGCTTTAACTTTTTTCTGTGTATCTGTGTTTAGAAACTGTTATTGTGGGTTACATATTCAATGGATTTGATGTTCATATTGATGAATTGTGGGATATATTGTACATTTTGAAAAGTAGGTGCATCTCTTGCTACACATCACATGGCTGGGAGTTTGTGGGATTTGCAACAATCATCTCATATCTTTCGTGCTACTAATTTCTATTCAGGCCATACTAACTACGTTGGACAGTTTATGAGGAATGAGATGAATTGGGTACAAACAAGGAGGTGAGGGAAATGGGATTTAACGTCCAAGATTATTGCACTTATGTAGCGAAGTGCATGCACATGTGTGTGTGTGTGGCTGCTTGTACTAGTCCGGACTGATGCCGATTTATAGTGCTAGCTCACTGAGATACCATGTCGCAGTTTAACATGAATACCCACTCAGACACAGTGTACTGACTCTGAGCCGACCAGTCCTTGTTTTAACCCCTTAATGCTGAGCACTAGACAGGGTAACAACAAGTACCATCTTTTAACATATTTCGGTATGATGCGGCTGGGGATCGAACCCCGGACCTTCCGTTCTTCGGGGGGACGCTCTACCACTAAACCATGGAGGCGGTCGTACACACAAGGAAGCAGTTATTAAACCTAATAGTGTGAAAGTATGTGTCCCTTCTAACCTGATCGGTAGGTCCATTTGTTTATGGTGCAGTATGATGGTCCATGTCTATATGTTAGGTGCTTATCATGCAAGACAGGAAGGTGAATGATAAAAAAGCAATGAAATATTTGTCTTAAATACATTATTGAAAAGCTCCATATTTGCCACTGCATATGATAAATACTGATACATACTGTGCTTGTTGTAAGAGGCAACTAACGGGATCGGGTGGTTAGACTCGCTGACTTGGTTGATGCATGTCATCGATCTCAATTGCCGATCGATGCTCATGATGTCAGTCACTGGATTGTCTGGTCCAGACTCGATTATTTATAGACTGCCTCCATATAGCAGTAATATTGCTGAGTGCGGCGTTATACAACAAACAAACAAACACTTACACAGTATAAGATAGTTTAGTGTGTACTGTGAAGGGAATATTTTCAACAGATAATGTGATAAAATGTTCATGACAGTGATAGTAAGTCCCTTTATTGATCATGTTGATGGAATTGATTTGTGATTGGGGGAGGGGGATTATATTTTGAAGAAATTAAATAATGTTGAGCGGTCTTTGCTAATTTATGTATTACGTGGAATGTTGCATGACAACACAGTATTTGGCAGAATGAAACAAAGAAGCTTCACATTAAGAAATGAAACTTGGACAATTGTACATGTGGTCAACTGGTTAGACTTCACTTATCATTATCATGTTGGGGCATATTTTGTTGTTAGACTGCAGCAGTTTACACCTTGGATATGCAGTAGTTATTACTTACTTGATGCAACTGTGGCTTAAAAAAACCTTGTCACGAATAAATGTCTTTAGACATTAAATTTTCACTAGCATAGAAAACTTTGGATTCACAAATATTTAAATTTAAGATAGAACCGTGAAGATTCCAAGGTAGAATAGGTCCTCAGCAGCCCATGCTTGCCGTAAAATGCGACTATGCTTGTCGTAAAAGGCGACTAACAGGATCAGGTGGTCAGGCTCGCTGACTTGGTTGATGCATGTCATCGGTCCCAATTGCGTGGATTGATGCTCATGATGTCAATCACTGGATTGTCTGGTCCAGACTCGATTATTAACAGACCGCCATCATATAGCTGGCATATTGCTGAGTGCGGCATTAAACAACAAACAAACAAAACCTAAATTTAAGATAGTCAACAATACAATCAGATGAGACTAGGGGGTATTTATCAACAAATAATTATCCAAGTCAATATGTTCAGTTAATACTATCATCAACTGTCACATGCTACCAACAATAATTGATTTTGGTCGATTTATCAGCATATATTTATGCTACAACTTTAGTTAGACATTATTTGTCATCATCATGGTGGGAAATATTTTGCATTGAGACCGTCCTGGTTTGTGACTTGAGCCACATGTCTGAACCATGAAATGAAATTATTGTTTTAGGTCTGGTAAGGTCAGCTAATATTTTCTCAATTGCATTCCAGCTCTAGGAAAACATTCCACATGTCTTCAAATCTACCAATCATCAGTAGTTTGGATAAATGTTTTTATCATGTAATGGATGGTTGTCTTGGCAGGATAAAGCCAACGGATTTATGCGGATAGAGATGCAAATATCAAAGGTCAAGTAGGGACTACTTTCAAGGCGTCGCCCTTGTCATTTGGCGATTGAGTCAGAATTAACCATTGGGAATTTGGAGAAACTACAGGGAAAATTGCTATCATTGTCAAAAGAAGAATCAGTTCTAACTGTGACGTGGGGCGGTCGGGTAGCCTAGTGGTTAAAGCGTTCGCTCGTCACGCTGAAGATCCAGGTTCGATTCCCGACATGGGTACAATGTGTGAAGCCCATTTCTGGTGTCCCCCGCCGTGATATTGCTGGAATATTGCTAAAAGCGGCGTAAAATCAAACTCGCTCACTCTAACTGTGACATAACTAAGGCATTTGCCAAGGCCTGCTAAATACAATGTTTATTCCTAATACAGGATATTTACCATCCCCAAACACACTCGCGTGATAACATCTATGTCTTTACCTGACAACTCATTACAACAAGCTGGATGTTTAAGTTGGAGATCTGACCTATTCTGTAACATTTTTAATCTTCGATCTATCAATTTCAAGATTTTAAAGTGGTTAACTTAATTGGTAACAAAATAAATGTGTTGTTATTTTCTAAAATAATATTAGCCGGACATATTGGTTTGTTATACACCCTTCACAATTAACATGTGTTGCAATTCAACTCATTGCTGACGTCAAAAAGATATATATCTGAATTGACTGCTACAGTAGAATTCAATGTACTCAAAAATAAATAACAGGTTCGATTTCAATCTCCTTAAAATCAGACCTTAGTTCTCGCTACCGCTGAATAAAGATCTGAAGACATCCCATCAGGGGTCACGTCAGAACAACCTTTCATCCGACCAATCAGAGCGTGGCTTACCAGATTATGAAAGTGACAGTCGGAATGTGATTTCTAATCATGCAACCTCGAAAACTTTATTCCCGACGATAGTTACGGGTTTAACAACTGAATCCATACAATCTAGACCATCTATTAGCCATTCCAGAATGTTCTTTTGTTCAGGTTTCAAATTTGTAATCGAGAATTTGTCAAAATATGTTTCACAGCGTAGTTGCCAATTAGAAATTATTGCCGTAAAGCACGAGAAAGCTGCCTTCTGACTGGTCATTCCATTGGTCGATCAAAGTTCGCGCAGGGTTGGTGTGGCGTGACCTGTAATGGAATGTCCTCAGATCTTTGTTTAGCGGTAGCGAGAACTAAGAACTGATTTTAATGAGATTGGTTCGATTTCAATATGTGATGGGTGTTTCAAACCAACTGTTTTGATCTATGACAAAACACATTGGAAATATCTGCCATTGTGTTCCTGCAAACTAAAATAATGCTTTAAACTTTGTTAATTCTCCTGTAGAAAAAAAACATTGTTAGAATTTTAGAATTCATAGCAGTTGAATTCAATGGACACTCTAAAATACATAATAACAGAATTATATCAAGGAGTTCATTATCAATATGTCAGACATCCTAACATATAATAAAAACTAATATGAAGAAAGATCCTTGGTGATACATAGAGGTTATCATATACATAGTGTTTATTCATAATACAGGATATTTACCATCCCTAAACACACAAGCGTGATAACCTCTTTATCATATAATGTCATTCTTCGATTCTGTGCTTGAAAATCGCTTCCCCTCACTCACAAACATTACCTATACAGTGTGAGTTTTCCTGGAATGCACGCATTAATATTTATTACATCACAGGGTAAGTGATGTGTCAGTCGGACAGTGACAGTAGCCAATATAGTTCCAACTGAAATCTGTTTCTTATCCAGTTGCAAAGCAACATATATGCAAAACAACAATTGTTTTTACTTGCCTTTCGCGGCAATCCATCGGTCTGTCCGCTAGAGTAACTGCCCTTTGTCAAAGGGAAGCTACTCTAACCCTAGTCTATGAGACGTCACGGCCACGTTCAGACGTTGTTGACAGTCGGCCTGTTCTGTCATAACGTTAATAAGTTCAGTCAGATGTACACACAGCGCCAAAACGAAACAAGGTATCAATTCATACATATTTCGCCTAAATCCAACTATTTTTATTTGTGGAAAAGGTTTCAAGCCGCAGAGGTCTACAAGCACAGATATGGCTACTGATCCCGCCCGGCTAGGCCTAGTGACCTCGCAAAATTGTTTCGAAATTTATATCTCCAAAGTTGCCAAAACTTATAAAATGCCTTAGTTACGTTGCAGTTCTATACTGATTTTCACTATATAAGACTATTTTTTTAAGAATTGTAGCAATTATCCCTGTAGTTTATCCAGATTCACGATGGTTAATTCAGACTCGATTGCCGAATGACAAGTGCGACTCCATGTTTGTTTATAAACACTGAAAGTAGTCCCTACTTGACCTTTGATATTTGCATCTCTATCCGCATAAGACCCCAACAGATATTGTTTTTATCCGTTGGCTTTATCCTGCCGAGAAACCTACCCATTATATGATAAATTGGAATTATCTGTCCATGTATATCCTACAACCTAAAATACGGCTGTATTCTTTAACTAAGATGATTAAGCTTCAGGAACACATGCTTGTCTTCATTTTTCAGAATCGATGGTTACAGTTGAATTCAATGCATGGACACAATTAATTATGTAAGTACGGCATGTCTTTATGTTATTAGAAAATATAAATTGTTTACTGGCTGCCGTCATGGCTTCAATATTGCTGACTTGTTGACGATACCAATCACTGGATTGTCTGGCCCAGATTTGATTATTTAATGGCTGCCATCACATGGCTGCAATATTGCTGTGTTTGGCATTAAACAATAGAAACAATACAGGAGGCTGAATCTTCAAGATTTGTAATTGTACCTCGATAACATGGATGGGTGATCACAATACCAATCACTGGATTGTTGGCCCAGATTTTTTAATGGCTGCCATCACATGGCTGGAGATTTGACTTATAATGTAAGATTGTTACAGTAGAAGGCTGAGGTAAACCTTGTATTGTGTTAATATGTACTCTTGAAGTGGTTGGAGATGATTGATGGATCATAAATTTCAGAATCAACTCAATGCACACTCTAAAATACACAATTACAGAATAAAATGAAAATGTTCACTGTCAAGTGAGTGTTGTTTTACGCCGCATTTAACAATATTCCAGGACTATCACAGCAGGGGACATTAGAAATGGGCTTCGCATATTGTACCTGTGTAGGGAATTGAACCCATGTTGTGAAGAACAAACGCTTTAAACAGTAGGCTACCCTACTGCCCATGTTGTGAAGAACAAACGCTTTAAACAGTAGGCTACCCTACTGCCCATGTTGTCGTAAAAGGCTACTAACGGGATCGGGTGGTCAGGCTTGCTGACTTGGTTGATGCATGTCATCGATCCCAATTGCGTGGATCGATGCTCATGATATTAATCACTGGATTGTCTGGTCAAGACTCGATTATTTACAGACCGCCATCATATAGCTGGAATATTGCTGAGTGCGGCGTTAAACAACAAACCAACCAAAGACATATGTCCGCGAACCAACCAACAACCTACTGCCCATGTTCCCTTTCACATCCTAACCGGTTGTTAAAAATAATATGGAGACAAATGCATGGTGTCAGTGATATCCTTCATCCTAAGATATTTCAGCTTCAGGAAGACTTTGTCTTTGAATTCAATGCATCCTCTTACACCACTTTTAGCAATATTCCAGCAATATCACAGTAGGGGACATAAGAAATGGGCTTCACACATTGTACCCATGTGGAGAATCCAACCCGGATCTTTGGAGAGCCTCCCGGCTACACCACCCCCCCTGCACTCTCTAAAATACAAAAAATAGAATTAAATAAATGTGTTCACTTTCAAGTGTGTGAGATTTTCTGGTCCATACTTTATTTACAGGCTGCCATCATATAGCTGCAGTATTGCTGAGTGGCATTATTTGTTTTGTTTTGTTTGTTGATTAACGCAGCACTCAGCAATATTCCAGCTATATGACAGCGGTCTGTAAATAATTAAACCTGGACCAGACAATCCGGTGATTGATATCATGAGCATCGATCCTCGCAATTGGGATCGATGATATGCATCAACCAAGTCAATTTCTACATTTTGGAGTGTGTTTGAATATTTAAGGGGCTGCCATCATCTAGCAGCAATATTGCAGAGTAACAGGAAACAGGATGCTGAATGTTGAAGTGGGAGATTTGACCTATATTATAAGATTGTTACAGTAGAGGCTGAAGAAAACTGTGTTGTGTCAATGTGTTCTATTGATCTTAATGTGGTAGGAGATTAATGATGGATCAGTTGTTACAGTTGAACTCAATGCACACTACAAAATACACAATAACAGTATATGAATGTGTTCACTTTCAAATATCTTGCTTTTATTAAAATAATGTGTTAATCTGGTTTAATTACAGGCCACTATCATATGATTTAAACAATATTTATTTCCAAGAAAAAGGAATGGGATTGGTGAACAGGTTCAATCTATTTAAACACCTACCTACAAATGACATTTAACAATTAACGAGAGTAAACTGTACATAAATAACAAATTTAGATTAATTGTACCTACATGATATCCAAGTCACACACAAATACCCATGTACATATATCGGTACATAAACTAACAGCATACCAGCATATCACACATACAAACAACTATTTGATTGATGTAATCGTTATGAAGACATACTTAGATTTTAAATCTTAGATTTTGCAATGAACAGATTGTACAATAGCAAGGTTAGTATCAGTAGATGTTGTAGCATTACCATATAATACTGAATCCAAGTCGTATCCCTTTATATAGTAGTACATATTGTTCCGAAGATTACAGTAGTTGCGACATAAAAAGAAGTAATGAGTAAGATCCTCATAATGATATCCACAGGAGCAGGTAGTAGAATCATGAATATGTCTATGATATTTGTGTGCATTTAAATCACTGCATCCTAATCTGAGGCGGCAATGGATAATTTGACAGAAACGGGTACCATAGTCTAAGTTAAAGCTAAATGTTTTAGGATTTTCTGTCTTGGTGATACATTTAGTGAAGTCATTTACAGTATATTTTGACTGAACATTATACTGTAATTCATTCCACATTGGCACTATGTCAGGTAAAAATGATTTGTGGTAGTTAACTGTTCTAGCATTTACAGTCAGTTGCTGTGAAGAACCTCTTAAAATGTAAAGTGCGCCCGCTGAGACATTAGGAGGAACAACATCACATAGATATTCAGGGGCCAACTTGTTAACCATTTTGTAAAATGTTTTTAATTTATGAGATTGCCGTCTTTTGGATAAGGGTGTAAGATTAGTTTCAGGGTATAGAGACTCGTGGCTGGTACCCCGAGTAGCTCCACATATTGTTCTCAGTGCGTCTCAATGTAGCCTTTCCAATACCAACGCTTGTTCTTGAGAACAGTTATCCCATACTTGGTCACAATAGTCGAATATTGGTCAAATAGATGATAAATTTATGTTCTGTAACGTTTTTCTGTACAGGCGGTATTTGAAAGTTCTATAGCAGTTAATCATTGGGCTTATTTATCTTCTATATTATCTATATGATTTGACCAGTAGCCATCTTGCTGTAAAATTAGACCTAGGACTCTATCATACATGCATGCAATATTGAGTGTGGCGTTAAACAACAAACACTGACTTCGACTTACAGAATAAAACTGAAACATAATTTTGTCCATTTGAAGAAGGTAATAAAATAGATTCCGTATTCTGTATTTGTAATGCATCCGACAAAATAACATGGAAAAACAACCCCTGAAATCTTACCACATTCATTTATTTGTTATTTAAATGTGATGAAATTAATGTATCTTCCTACTGACTGCGTGGAGTCTGTTGATATCCTGTTGTGCATCAGATTGCCTTGACCTTAAAACAATGAGGTCATATTAAACACGTTCATTGAAGAGGTCGAGTTATATGCTGCTGTGATACAAGTCTGCCCCCAAACACATTTGATTCTGCCAGATTTAACCTGGCCAGTGATTATGTTAATAAATAGATTTTGATTACTTGATCATAACAGACCCAAATAATTCTGTTTTGTGGTAAAGTCACAGATTGTAGAGAGTGGTTGCAAGTATTGGGTGAAGAATATTGTAGACATTTTGAATCTCAATCGGTTCCAAGTAATCACAATTGTTGGTATCTACACTAAGGGCGATGTGATGGTCAGACTGTGATTCTAGTAATGTCTGGTTGGTTAGCTGGCTGCAAAGCTAATTTTGGTGACAGGGTCAGTATTTGGGCCTATTGCATAAATATTTTTAGTCACCAGGTTTTTTTGTCAGTGAACAAAACATGCATTTTCCCTTGAGACAAAACAAAATCATGCTATATATCAGACTTCTATTTGTTAATAGGAACATCAAAGGTAGTCAATATTAAAAGTTTCTATGTAGACTTCTGGAACAAATGTTAATCACATTTTGCCATATATATATTGTTAAGCTATATTTTTCAATTCATCCACTATGATTTTTTTACAATTTGGGATCATAATGGCAAATCAAAGTTTAGTATCTGAGGTTAGGTTTAGGTTTTAGCTACATTCTGCTGGAGTTTCCTTATGCTGGTGGGGGCACGGGTGGGCCAGTCGTCTAAGGCGCTGCGATTCGCTGTGCAGAGTTGCATCTACATTTATTATGCCAAAATTCATGACTACAAATCAGAGAATCTACCGGTATGATGGTCATCCAACATGCACGCTGATTATGCAAAACATTGAAGGCCTTCAATAACATATTAATGATTTGCAGAATGACAAGAGGTTTTTTGAAGCTGATTTCATTTGCTTGACAGAAACATGGTTATCTGATTCACATCCAGGTGATGAAGCAAAACTTGATGGATTTACATTACATCATAAATCCAGATCACAGTGTTATGAATCATCTGAACCAATGCTGATGGAATTGAAGAATCAAAGACATGGTGCTGTTTGCATTTATTCTAGTAAGTCAAAACCTGTGATTTTTACTCATTTATCAGTATCCAATTTTGCAGTACCTGTGTTTTTATGTCATGGAACTACAAGCTTATGTTGTTGTTTTATACACGCCAAGCTCATACACAGTTGATATTTTCCGAAAGCATTTGCTACAACTTGTTCAGGAACTTGATTCTGGTCGATCCATTATCATGGGTGGGGGCATGGGTGGCCCAGTCGTCTAAGGCGCCATGATTCGCTGTGCAGAGTTGCGTCCCTTGGGCACCCCAGAAACCTATGATTGTGGGTTCGAATCCCGGTTCGCCCCAATGTTTCTAGGTTTGTCAGCACCATACCCGTGCTCGTGGGTTTCACCGAAGTGGTAAACGTCTAAGACCTGCGTCACTTCTGGCTTTCCTCCCACATTAAGCTGACACACCGCGATATAACTGGAATACTGTTAAAAGCGGCGTTAACCCCAACTCACTCACTCACTCATTATCATGGGTTATTTCAATGAAAATATCTTGTCGTCTTCATCAATACAGACTATGATGGAATCGAATGGTTTTACACAGATGGTTTCAGAACCTACCACTGAAGGTGAAATGCTTACCGGGTTATTGACATGTATATAGACTTGAGAATGTCTCTGTTCAGATTCTTCTACATACTTTGGGTACCATGAAGGTATTCAGATCAGACTATAAACCGGATTGTCTGGTCCAGACTCAATTATTTACAGACTGCAGGCATATTGCTGGAATATTGCTGAGTGTGGTATTAAACAACAACAAAATATGAATGAATTGTACTTGTTGTATCATGATCATACACCTGTATTAAATATAATTACTTTTATTGCAAAAGCAGCTTTTACAAAATATGAATGAATTCTATTTGTTGTATCATGATCATAGACCTGTATTTATGTATAATTACTTTTATTGCAAAAGCATCTTTTACAAAATATGAATGAATTCTACTTGTATCATGATCATAGACCTGTATTTATATATAATGACTTTTATTGCAAAAGCAGCTTTTACAAAATATGAATGAATTGTACTTGTATCATGATCATAGACCTGAGGCCAACATACAAGGTACCAACTTCTTGTATTACAAGGAAGACATTTGTTGAAAATTACATTGATTCTAATGGATGACTTAATTGAAGTCATAATATTGATTGAAAAAACACTGTGATATTTTTAATTTAGTTCATGTCAGCTTATTGCGCATGATCAACTTTTTGTGTGTATTATATCATACTACATGAGGTACACTGTAATATTACAAATATATTTCACTTAACTTGAAGTATGATCATGCATATGTCTGATAACTGCTAATTTTAAACCAATTTGTAAATCTTGCTTCAACGAAAGACACTGATCTATTATTGCACATATCTGTATTTATATATGATGACTTTTGTTGCAAAAGCAGATTTTACAAATAGGAATAAATTGTACTTATTTTATCATAATTATAGGCCGAAGGCCAACATGCAAATTTTTTATATTTATTATCCCCCGCCGCGCGAAAGCGCGAAGCGGGGGATATAGTATTCACGACCATCCGTACGTCCGTCCGTACGTCCCACCTGTTTGTTGCCGCGATATCTCAAGAACTAAACACTGGATTGTCTTCATATTTGGAACTATGGTGTATATACAGACTCCACAGACACCAGTCGGTTTTGGTGACCTTGATCCCATTTTCAAGGTCACAGCAGACAAATCTGCTTTTAGAGTTGGAAAACGGTGTTGCCGCGATATCTCAAGAACTAAACACTGGATTGTCTTCATATTTGGAACTATGGTGTATATACAGACTCCGCAGACACCAGTCGGTTTTGGTGACCTTGATCCCATTTTCAAGGTCACAGCAGACAAATCTGCTTTTGGAGTTGGAAAACGGTGTTGCCGCGATATCTCAAGAACTAAACACTGGATTGTCTTCATATTTGGAACTATGGTGTATATACAGACACCGCAGACACCAGTCGGTTTTGGTGACCTTGACCCCATTGTCAAGGTCACAGCAGGCAAATCTGCTTTTGGAGTTAGAAAACGGTGTTGCCGCGATATCTCAAGAACTAATCGCTGGATTGTCTTCATATTTGGAACTATAGTGTATATACAGACACCGCATACACCTGTCAGATTTGGTGACCTTGACCCCATTTTCAAGGTCACAGCAGGCAAATCTGTTTTTGGAGTGGAAAACGGTGTTGCCACAATATCTCAAGAACTAATCGCTGGATTGTCTTCATATTTGGTACTATGGTGTACAGGCGGGGGATATTTCGTCACTCTGTGACAAATACTTGTTTTACAAACATTTGTTGAAAATGTAATCTGACTGATTCTACTGGATGGCATAATAAACAATAACAGGCATGTTTTATTGACCAATACGACACTGTAATATTTGCAATTTGATATGAAATACTTGCCAGCCCTGACCAAAACCTGCCTGCCCACTATAATCATATGTTTCTCAGGATAAGCTAACGGGGTTTCTTTTTGGTTACATTTTATCATTCATCTTTACATGTGAATTAATGCTTATCATCGGGAAATATTTAGAATATTTTCACATATGAAATATAACCCGACCGTCGGGCAGGGGGATTTGAAAATCTGGCAGCCTGAGTTGAAATCAACCCGTCTCGGACGGTCGGGCAGGCAGGTATTTCAAACACTGCTGTATGCATCATGTACCTCAGCACATGTGATGTCACAATTCACTGATGTATTGATATATCTATGCATATCTTTAAACCTGATGATAGGATACACAATAACCTTCTGAGGTATTGATTTATGTTTTCATTCTGCATCCAATACTCAAGAAGTGGTATATGTTTTACAACAACCTGGTCTGATGACTACTCCAGCTCGAAAGTATGCACTCATGTATTCAAGAACATGTGGTACCATAACTATTTGATTGTGATTCATAAACACATGCTTTTGATATGGTCCAAAATATGAAATGGACACTTCTTTTGGTAGAGATGACTTATAATTATGGAATAGATTTTGTCGCTGTTATTTACATTCAAGTCATCAACACATCAGGGTCCCTCAACATTGTCATTTCGACCGTGGAGGGAGTTCCATGAAGATGTGTTGATGACTTGACATAACCTCAGGGTCCCTCCACGATGTAATTTTGACTGTGGAGGGAGTTCCATGAAGATGTGTTGATGACTTGACATAACCTCAGGGTCCCTCCACGATGTAATTTTGACCATGGAGGGAGATCCTTGAAGGTGTATTGATGACTTGACAGCACCTTGACAGCACTTCTTTTGGTAGAGATGTCTTATAATTATGGAATAGATTTTGTCGCTGTTCCATGAAGATGTGTTGATGACTTGACATAACCTCAGGGTCCCTCCACGATGTAATTTTGACAGTGGAGGGAGTTCCTTGAAGGTGTGTTGATGACTTGACATCACCTCAGGATCCCTCCACGATGTAATTTCAACCGTGGAGGGAGTTCTATGGTTTGTTGATGACTTGACATAACTTCAGGGTCCCTCCACGATGTAATTTTGACCGTGGAGGGAGCTCCTTGAAGGTGTGTTGATGACTTGACAGCACCTTGACAGCACTTCTTTTGGTAGAGATGTCTTATAATTATGGAATAGATTTTGTCGCTGTTATTTACATTCAAGTCATCAACACATCAGGGTCCCTCAACATTGTCATTTCGACTGTGGAGGGAGTTCCATGAAGATGTGTTGATGACTTGACATAACCTCAGGGTCCCTCCACGATGTAATTTTGACCGTGGAGGGAGATCCTTGAAGGTGTGTTGATGACTTGACAGCACCTTGACAGCACTTCTTTTGGTAGAGATCTCTTATAATTATGGAATAGATTTTGTCGCTGTTCCATGAAGATGTGTTGATGACTTGACATAACCTCAGGGTCCCTCCACGATGTAATTTTGACAGTGGAGGGAGTTCCTTGAAGGTGTGTTGATGACTTGACAGCACCTTGACAGCACTTCTTTTGGTAGAGATGTCTTATAATTATGGAATAGATTTTGTCGCTGTTATTTACATTCAAGTCATCAACACATCAGGGTCCCTCCACATTGTCATTTCGACCGTGGAGGGAGTTCCTTGAAGGTGTGTTGATGACTTGACATTACCTCAGGATCCCTCCACGATGTAATTTCAACCGTGGAGGGAGTTCTATGGTTTGTTGATGACTTGACATCACCTCAGGGTCCCCCCAAGATGTAATTTCGACCGTGGAGGGAGCTCCATGAAGGTGTGTTGACAACTAGACATCACCTCAGGGTCCCTCCACGATGTTATTTTGTTGGTGGAGTGTGTCCCATAAAGGTGTGTTGTATTGATTCATGTTTGAATTTTGTATCGATTTTGATAAAATACTTTTTTATATTTCATGTCTGAAACACCTCAGGGTCCCTCAACATTGTGATTTCGACGGTGGAGTGAATCTCATTAAGGGATGTTGACAACAATGAAATTTCACACCACATCAGATCCATAGTAGAATCGGTTGTTTTGAATCTGTATCAATGTTTGTGAAGTATTTTATTCGTTTCGCTACAACCTGGTCTGTATGTAAATGAAACCCACAAAAAACATTTCATAATCACACAAAATCTTTAATAAAAGCAGAATTCATTGTATGTTTCCGACTTTATCTAAACATGTGTTTATAAATCACTATGAAATAGTGATATCAGGTGTTCAAGAAAAGCTGAGCGTTTCCTTGCTTGCAGGAGTAGTTATGAGGCCAAGTTGTTGGTGTGTGCCGGAGTGTCCCAGGGTACTCTAGACTCATTTCAGACCTCGACCATGTTCAAATCCTCACATGATTTGTTGTTTAACGCTGCACTCAGCAATATTCCAGCCATATGATTTATCAGTTATTAAGATGGTGAACTGAAGATGATGTGATGAGAATGGTTTTATGCTGCTTTTCGCAATATTCCAGACACATCACGGTGAGGACACCAGACATGGGCTTCACACATTGTAACCATGTGGGTAATCGAACCTGGTCTTCGGCTGACGACTGAACTCAAGGCTAGCGCCATAGGTTGTGTCTGCCATCACAGTGTGTATCAGCAATGACAAATTTAATTCAGGTGTGGTTTTGACATTATTTATTTGCTGAAATATCCCCATGGTCCCGAAGTACAGTGCAATTCAGTGAATTGCACGGTAGTTATGTTTACAATGACATTACAATACCTACACAACAAAACATTTAATACATACATTTTATTAGCTCGATTTGATGATGAAATCTTTGCAAACTAAAATCCTCAAAAGGCAAATGTAATCTTACACTTGGTACTAGATCCGTGAAGATCTGGGGTAGAATAGGTATTCAGCAACCTATGCTTGCCGTAAAAGGCACTATGCTTGTGTAAGAGGCAACTAACGGGATGGGTGGTCAGGCTCGCTGACTTGTTTGATGCATGTCATCGATCCCAATTGCGTGATCGATGCTCATGATGTCAATCACTGGATTGTCTGGTCCAGACTCGATTATTTACAGACCAAACCAACCAAAGTACTAACGTCTGGGACCTGCATCACATTTGCCTTACTTGACTCGAACGCAACGCCATATAAAGCTGACATACTGACTATTACATTCCTAATATTCTTACAATCAGTGTGAACTCACTACTTACTCTCCAGGGCCCACTTGCACAAAGCGATCTTAGCGCTAAGACAATTGTAGGCCTATGCTAAAGTATGGGAGTTAGCTAAGATCGCTTTGTGAGTGAGTGAGTGAGTATGGTTTTACGCCGCTTTTAGCAATATTCCAGCAACATCATGGCGGGGGACACCAGAAAATGGCTTCACACGTTGTACCCATGTTGGGAATCGAACCCCGGTCTTCGGCGTGACGAGCGAACGCTTTAACCACTAGGCTACCAGACCGCCCCAAGATCGCTTTGTGCAAATGGGTCCAGATGTAAATGAAATTAAGATTAACTTCTCGAGCTGATCACATGACCTTTTACAAATGCACCACGTGATTAGAGTGACAGAAAGGCATTTACAAGTCAGTATATATACTCATTTGCTGCAGACACAAGATATTCTCTATTGCACAGATGCGGTTCACATGAATGAAACTAAACGTATCAAGTCTTTGAAATTATGGATGTCAACATCTTTATTATGACGAACACAACGTTTCGGCGCATGATCTTGACGGGTTATTCTCTTGCATTGACAATTTATATTAACTTGAACTTGGTCGATGTTCTGCAGGTGAACTGAAGACCTCGAGTTATATCATAACCTCAGTAGCAATTATCAAGGCTAAGTCAGCTACGAAAGAAATGCTTGACCGAGGCTTTAAAACTGCATCCCACTCCTCGCCATTCTGTTACAAAAAAAGAATATATTTCTTAAACGTTTTTCTTTACCTGTTAGCAGCAGAATAGCTGTACTTGTACACAGCAAATGTGATTGAAAATTGTCCTTTCGCTTTTATTAGTTTCGTAAAGATACGGGGTAGAATAGGTCTTCAGCAACCCATGCTTGCCGTAAAAGGCGACTATGCTTGTAGTAAGAGGCGACTAACGGAATCGGGTGGTCAGGCTCGCTGTTTTGGTTAATGCATGTCATCGTATCCCAACTGCGTGCATCGATGCTTATGACGTCAGTCACTGGATTGTCTGGTCCAGACTCGATTATTTACAGACCGCCCTCATATAGCTCGAATATTGCCGAGTGTGGCGTTAAACAAGAAACAAACAAATCTTTTACAGACACATCTCCAAATTGGGGTTGTTTCTAATTGCGTATTAAGGTCTGCATTGTCTTGGACAGCATTGCAATGGTCCGCACTTGACGTTTATAAATAAATCTTAAAACACTTTTATTTAAAATCGTACTGTGTCAACAAATTAACATCTCGGAGACGACAAAATGAGGAAATATGAATATACATGAAACTATTTGTTCCAGAAAATGCTGGGAAAAGTAATATTGCTTCAGGTGTTTAAAAAAACCATAAGCTCTCTGGACATCCTAAAACATTTGTTGTGACTTTTCCCCTTTCAGAGAAAAATATTGTCTCCGTGACAGAAAATTGGCATTCCACTGTGGAAAACACTTGCTTTAAGCTATTACAGAATTAAGACGTTTCTTGGAAGTTAATAATTAAATCTAAGACGCGTATGCCTTTCCGGTCTGTTTGTCACTTCCGGTTTTATAACAATAATGCCTCAAAGGGGCTGTGGGTAGCCAATGCTTTAATCGTTCGCCCGTCACGCCGAAGACCCGGGTTCGATTCCCCATATTTATGAAGCCCATTTCTGGTTCCCCCGAGGTGCTATTGCTGAAATATTTCTTAAAGCAACGTAAAAATGAAAATAAGATAAAAACACGATAAAAACTGTTCTAAAAGTTTATTCCACAATAATGACATTTTGGGCCATGTAAAGAGTAGATGTGACACAAAACTCGCAAATATAATTCAATGTGGTGATTGACCCCTGAAGATCCGGGGTAGAATAGATCTTCCAAGGCGACTTGGTTGATGCATGTCATCGTATCCCAATAACGTGGATCGATGCTCATGATGTCAATTGCCTGGTCGAGACTCGATTAATTTACAGACCAGCGTCATATAGCTAGAATATTGTTTAGTGCGGCGTAAAACAACAAACCAAACTAAAAAAACCTAATGATATAACCCCGATACATTCACACTACATTTTTCTAAACTGCATTGTCGGACAAAAGGCCAAACCAAGATTTCATATTAAAAAGTGCAGCGTTAAACAACAAACAAACAGTGTGGGGATTAGAAAATTCACCTGACGCGACCTTCTATGGATGTGTCCTCAATCAGAAAGATACTGTATATCAGAGTAAAAAGATCTGATTTTCTTCAGAGTGTATGTATCTAATCAGCCAATCAGAGTCGTGGGTTCTTAATTTTCGGTTCGAGTGAATGAAACATTCAGCCAAGTATATCTGATTTCTGTATCTCGAAAAGGAACAAATTTGAGAGTTCGAATGCCCAGCTTATATAATTGTTGATATTTTGTACATCCTGTCGTTTCTGAGCCCCCAAAGATCTAAAGGTGTACTAACTAGTGTGTATTTGTGTTCTGTGACGTTTCCTTTTACAAAGATTGCATTTTACTAATCGGGGTGGTAAAGACATGATGAAATAAGCCGCTAATCCTTCATATCGATCAAATTTCACTCAGGATTCTGAGGGGGCGGTCGGGTAGCCCAGTAGTTAAAAGACCCGGGTTCGATTCCCGACATGGGTTCAATGTGTGAAGCCCACTTCGGGTGTCCCCCGCCGTGATATTGCTGGAATATTGCTGAAAGCGACGTAAAACCACACTCTCACTCAGGGTTCTATGGAGGTGTCGCCAGATCATCATGTTTCTTTCTTAAGACTGAGACACATGGGTAGGACATTACACAACCGTGTAACGATGAAATATATTATATATGATAATATGCAATGACTCAGTGTTGCTTCACCGGATGTCACAAGGTCATAGAGCTCACAGTAACTTGTTATTTAGGAATGACCTGAGTTGCTTCGCGACGGTAACCTCTCCCTCTCAAGATCAGTGGGTGCAAAGCACCAGGGAAGTAACTCTTTAGTTTTCTTTACTTCGTACGTCATATCCGGCTTTGTCATACACACATCCCAGTCGACACCAAACTGAAACACATACAAATAGTTTATAGCCTGAGAAATAATAATAGAAATATTGATTAGAACAATGACTAGTGTTTTAATGCTGTAAAAACTCATCTGATCCCGAACGCCTTTCAAGATTAACTTTCTTCACTGTGATGTTTTAGTAGTAGTGGTAGTAGTGATAAAAATATTATAATAATATTTGCTCTTAAGGGGCAAAGTGGTGCCCTCCACCCTATCCTTAATGATACAGACTCGTGAAGATCCGGGGTAACAAAGGTCTTCAGCAACCCATGCTTGCCGTAAAAGGCGACTATGCTTGTCGTAGGAGGCGACTAACGGGATCGGGTGGTGAAGCTCGCCGACTTGGTTTGAAGAATGTCATCGTTCCCAATTGCGTGGGTCGATGCTCATGATATCAATCACTGGATTGTCTGGTCCAGTCTCGATTATTTACGGACCGCCGTCATACAGCTGGAATATTGCTAAGTTCGGCGTAAAACAAACCAAACCAAAAAACCTAAATGATGTAACCCCGACACATTCACACTTCATTTTCCTAAACTGCATTGTCGGACAAAAGGCCAAACCAAGATTTCATATAAAAAAATATGGCTCTACACCATGTTATGTATTTTCTCAAACAGCTTGTTCTGTGAAATCCTCGACTCGACAAAATAGTGTGTTATGACCTTAACATTATATATATATATATATCACTACTTAAAGATTGTAAAACTTTAAGCCTCGGGAACAATCAAGTCTGGACCAGACAATCCAGTGATTGACATTATGAGCATCGGTCTAGGCAGTTGGGAGACGATGACATGCATCAACCAACTCAGCGAGCCCGACCAGCCGATCCCGGTTGTCGCCTCTTAAAACAAGCATGTTGCTGAAGATCTATTCTGAGACGGATCTTCATGGGACTAAGTCGTATTGTGGGTATTATATATACAAAGAGTTAAATGAAGCTCACCTCGACCAGAAACTGCCTACATGCACCGCAAGGCACAATGACGCCATCCTTCAGATCACTGAGAATCAGATATGGACTGTTAATATCAATATGTCACGTTTAACATCAAAGTAAAAAGAGTATTCATCGGAATCGCTGCTCTTTCTTTCAAATAAGTAATAAAAACAATAATGTTCTTCTTTTGGTGTAGTTTGTCATTTAATTTAGAAAATACCACTTGCTGTTTAAAAACGACAAAACAATCCAACAAAAATGTATTCAGCTGGTTGTGACCTAAGATGGTTTTCTACCTGCCATTGCATTGGCTCAAAGCCAGAATTGATTTTCAACTAAAATAGGTGAGGTGAGGTGAAATTGGGTTCAACGTCGCGTCCAAGATTATTGCACTTATAGTGCGTGCGTGCGTGCGTGCGTGCGTGCGTGCGTGTATGTGCCTGTGTGTGCTTGTACTAGTCCGGACTGATGCCGATTTATAGTGCTACCTCACTAAGACACCATGCCGCAGTTTAACATGAATACCCCACTCAGACACAGTATACTGACTCCGAGCCGACCAGTCCTTGTTTTAGCCCCTTAATGCCGAGCGCCAGACAGGGTAACAAGTACCATCTTTTAACGTCTTAAAATAGCGTAATTCGCGTGTATGACAGGTTATGGAAGTGAAGTACAGATACTTCGTGAGGTTTATTTCTAGTGCACACATAACTTTTATTACGCGACAATTCGTAATTTCAAAGTGTCAGCTACTAACACTTTGGTATCACATTCCTTGTGTTGAAAGTGCCTATATCAATGAGTATTTTGTCATCGGAATGGGAGTTACGGGCTTGACCGTTCAATGATCAGCTGGAGAGACCCTCGAAAATTATTGTGGACGCTTTATAGCTTCTACGATAAGCTAAACGAAGAATCACCCCATTAGCACGTGTTGTTGGGTTACAAACAAAGTCGTGATTTGTTCCCTGTTCGTCTGTTAACGCAGACTAGATATTAATCCGAATTTGCCATCAGTATTTGTCGACGAATTTTACGGACGTTTCTTATATTGTTGCGATCAACTGAGGAAATTCCCACAATAATTATGATGTTAGCTGTGTATATAGTGAGTAAGTGGGTTGGGTTTAACGCCGCTTTTTGCAGTATTACAGTTATATCGTGTATTTAGACGACCCGTGCCCCGCTGTATAGATAGAAATTACTTTGTATATTATTATAGTAAATGTGAATTGATTATAAATATCTGTTGATTTATTGTTAATTGATGGTCATATTATCAAGTATTTCATCATGGAAAACGTAATTGTTATTGTCGTGTAGATGAGGTTCAGTACCCAATTACAATATATAACTACCCCTACACCGTTACAACCTATGTACATAATGAACGCATACAATAGTCTTGGTAATGTGTACGTGTCACTTTCTCCGATAAGAAAAACATCACTTTTGCGAAACACATTTTCCAATTATATTTTCGCAATGCTAATGTTACCTTGCGATGGCAATGGCCTTGAACTTTCGATGACCTTCTGAAACGGCCTTGACAATGGCCGTCCTCTCTGCGCAAATCGCCAAGCCATATGAAGCGTTTTCAACGTTACAACCTGCACACACAAATAATATGACGTCTCACTGAAAATAACATGCGAAATATGCCAATAAATAAGGCAAGACTTGTCCATGTTTCCCAACTAGCTTTGCAACCTCTAAACTGTGCTCCGTCTTTAAATATCATATTATAACCTTACCGCGCATGGGTAGACTGGTTACCGGCAAAAGTCATACAGTAGGCTGAAATTGTTTCCGCGGCACTCATTAAAATAATATCAATAAAAATAGACCTCAAATTTACTGCATCGTGAGAATATTATTTGAATACATTTGAAGTAAAGAAACTACAAAAGTTGTCCATATTGACAGGCATACGCTCACGTTACCTCTCGTTTTGAGGAACTATTTTTTTTCGCGATACATCTGGTTGTTGTATGGCTGTCAGTGTAAACATGAAGTCACACGTACTAAATATAATTTGTATAGATATAGGTCTAGGTCTACATCCCATGTGGTAAAAAAATAGTGTCATAAAAATTATTAAGAATTGACTTTCACTTTGTGTGAGTTCATTGGAGTATTAACCTTCACAGAGTAAGGGCCAAACTGTATGGAACGCCGGAGCTTGTTCATACAGTGATTGGCCATAACTCTACGAAGGTTCATACTCCAATGGGGGTGGTCGGGTAGCCTAGTGGTTAAAGCGTTCGCTCGTCACGCCCGAAGACCCGGGTTCGATTCCCGACATGGGTACAATGTATGAAGCCCATTTTACATGTGTCTCTGCTTCAATGGGATAAACATTTGAAACGGTAAAGACTTTTCACCAATTGCATGGATCGATGTTCATGATGTTAATCACTGGATCCAGACTCGATAATTTACAGACCGCCGTCATATAGCTGGAATATTGCTGAGTGCGGCGTTAAACAACCAAACCAAACCAAACCAAACCATATCCCGTTGGAAGGGCTTCCATACAATCTCGGCCATCTACTAAACATCCCAGAATGCTCTTTTGTACACTTTTCAAATTTTAATCGAGAATTTGGTCAAAATATTTTTCACAGCGTAGTTTGGAATGGAATTCGACAGTTTGAAATTTGTACCTCATAGCTCGAGAAAGCTGCTTTCTGATTGGCTAATGTCGACTTCCTTTTAGTCATTTCATTGGTCTCGGTCAGGTCGCGAAATGATCTGACATTACATGTATTAAATGGGATGTCTTCAGTGTTAGCGACAACTAAGATCTGATTTCAGTGATATTGCGAGTGGTTACAAATAGCGATGTGAGCTGTCCTTTCAATCTGAGTAAGGGCGATAACTCTGACCTACCTGTGAACACAGTCCCGTCGGCTGTGAGTAGGGCTGCCCCGACGGGAAAGTTGCTGTACGGACAGTAAGACATTTTCTTCATCTCATGGCTCGTCTTCACCAGCTGTTGAACTTGATCTGGAACAACAGACGGTACATGGACTGCTAGGCTAAAGACTCCTATTCACAGAGGTACTCAATTGTCTTTCTCTTCCGCTTCCGGAAGTGACACAAACGGCTGCGCGTATTCTGAGGAACGCATACTCATAGTATCAGTCATATTGCCCTAATGGCCTGATAGATATACTCAAAAGTGTTCCGCTTAAAGAAATTCTAACTGCGCAAACCGTACTTTTGCATGCACTGCTAACTATTTTTATTATGCCTCAAAGTGAGTTTGACCAATCAGAGAGCAGAACTACTAAACCCATATAAGTCCGTATACCATCAGTAAAAATCCAAGATGGTTGCTACTGACAAAATATGAGATCGTATACCGTCAGTAACAGCCATTTTGGATTTTCCAACACCCACCTCACATATTTCACATGAAAAGTCTGGTACAGATATTAGTTATTCGACACTGTTTTGTGTTTCAATGTCATTTATTCTAAAGTGCAAGGACGTTAATGTTTTTGGGATCACGTTCGTGACTTTAATAAAGATTATATAAGGGTAAAATTATCAGCAAGGTTTGAAGAGTAGTCTCCCTTTGACCCTTAACGTCTTAGGTTGTAAATGTAAAGTTCTGAGTTTTGACATGTTGTGCGACAAAGATACCAAATAGTATAAACTTTTCGGCATAATAAATTCGTTATGGTGTCTTAAGTTGCCGTATACACTGCACGTGTCATATTAGGTTAGCAGAAAAATATTAGGTGAGGCGTCAGCTACTAACCTTATATGACACCGTATAGGGCAACTAAAGACACCATAACTAATGATATCCCCACGTCACACATATGACATAATCAAGGTATACGCTTCAAAGGCCCCTGAAGACATGAAAGTGATAGCCACGTGTCGCTGAATTTATGTTACGATTAAGCTACACAATGAAAACTATTCAGTGAGCTATGAAAACACACCAAAACTTACTTTTTCACAAATCTACATTTATTCAAACTTGATCTGATGATAATCTTGCATCAAAACAATGGTGTCGGCTGATGTTTGTAAACTTCCTGCCTGTAATGTTATGTGACTGACCATGTAGTGCATCTATTTTCAACTTGACTCTAATGGAGTGGCTCGATATCATGTGACGCTATAACAAGATGGCGCCTGATAGACTCGTCTCGTGAGGCAAGGCATTATTGCTAAAAAATTAACAAAACATGGTCATTTGACCATCCAAGTGTTAACAGTAATATATTTTCTCAAAGGTAAGGCGTAATTATGGTGTAATTGGATTGTTATAAGACACGTAATGAGAAATACTTAAGGGCTCGAAAACCCACAACACGAGCATATAAACGATTTTGATATTGACTTGTCGCTTCACAGAGCTACGGCCTGTCCCTTTGTGTTTTCCTAATAGATTCCCAATGTTTGAATAGTCTTGTTGCTTCCGATACATGCATGATAATGTGACGCGTGACATCCACAGCTGCTTGAGTTACGTGACACTTCGAGTGAGTGAGTGCATTGAACAGTTTGGCAGTGATATCGTGGCACGTCAGCTAATGTGACATAAAAGCCCAAGGTGACACAGACAGTAGATTGTCACCATCCACGGGCATTGACATGGAGCTGACTGACCTGAGATCCTATCCGGAACTAATCTTGGATTCGAACCCTCGATCAGCGAATCCTGGGACAGTAGTGCCGATAAAGTTGAGGATTGGATGGTTACAGTGTGTCACCTGGCTGATGAAAGAATCAAGTTTTGTGAGTATTTCTATAGAAAACTATGTTGTACCTATGTTGGGAAGATGATTAGGCCTTGAACGTCAAATTAGAGCACGACCAAGTCGCCCTTATAACAAGGATCAGTTAGCACAGGTCCTCTTGAGAGAAATGGTGTTGAATCCCATTTCTTGTGATCAGAAGTACATCGTCTCATGGTTCGGGCATGCATCGATTCCCGTGGAGGGCATACACAATACTGACTGACAATGTTTCATGTGCTGATTTCAGTCTTGATGGTTGATCGAATACTGAACAACTCACCCAATCCTCCACACTGTGGACACAGTACCATCTTTTTAGTTTTATTTCTCATTCATGGATTACTTGTAATCATGAATGAGTAAGTTAGTTTGGTTTAACGCTGCTTTTAACAGTATTCCAGTTATATCACGGCGTGTCAGCTTGATGTGGGAGGAAAGCCCGAAGTGATGCAGGTCTCAGACGTTTACCACTTCGGTGAAACCCACGAGCACGGGTAGGGTGCTGACAAACCTAGAAACATAATTGGGGCGAACCGGGATTCGAACCCACAATCATAGGTTTCTGGCGTGCCCAAGGGACGCAACTCTGCACAGCGAATCGCAGCGCCTTAATGCCCCCATGTAATGATGATGATATATGATGTCGATAATAATGTTTGACAATACAAGTTTGTTTATATTGTATTGTTTTACAAGTAAGGGTAAATGATGCTCAAATGGCACTTTTTTAGAATTGTATATTTATTTCAAACATCGTTCCGGAACAATGACCCGTGAACCAAGTGATTTAAAACAGAGGCCTAACCTTGAGTCCGAATTTTCCAAGACTGGGTGCAGTCTTATATTGACCTCATATCCAGTAACAAATACTGAAAGATAAGGTGTGTGTCTAATACATAACACATGTCAAAAACAATTTAGCGACCCTCCGAAGTTTCTTATCGGAGTGTGTATGTAAATACTGTTGTGTATGTGATTGCCAGTACTGTTGACAGGAGAGCCTGTTCTATTCTTGTACCAGAATGCCATTGACGTGCAGTCCTTATAACAGTACAGACTGATAACCGAATTATGTTCAGAACCTGGGCTAAGATCGCTTTGTGCAACGGGGACCAGATTAAGAAAAAAATGCACAATCAGCATGTTGATCTTACAGACATGTTTGTCGTTGATACTGGACTTTTTGTCACGATCTTCAACGGTGATTGCCCAAAGAGTGTTTAATTGCAGTTGACTGGTTTAAGGGAAGAGGAAAAGTAAGTGTGTGTGGTGTGGTGTGGTGTGCGTGTTTGCGGTGTGGTGTGGTGTGTGTGTGTGTGGTGTGGTGTGCGTGTTTGCGGTGTGGTGTGGTGTGTGTGTGTGGTGTGCGTGTTTGCGGTGTGGTGTGGTGTGTGTGTGTCTGTGGTGTGTGTGTGTGTGTGTGTGTGTGTGTGTGTGTGTGTGTGACCCCTACTGATCATGTAGTAAAGTGAAATACTAAACTCGCTCACTCAATCTAAATGAGCTCCTCCAGCACTGTATCATATTGTACTCAACGATTGTATGTGTCCGTCCGTATTTGTGCTTTGAACATGGGATGTCGATCTCACACCAATTCTCTCACTATGTGCGCTGTTCAGCAGGTGCATCGCATAACGCACAGCCTCAATCCAAATCAACGTGCAACATTTCTGATAATTAGTAATTTTCTGTAAAACATTTTAAAAAAATAAATTCGCAGACGTTATTCATGATTATTATTTCCTAATTCTGGCTATCTCGGCCGTTCTCTCTGGGGCGGCCGGGTAGCCTTGTTGTTAAAGCGTTCGCTCGTCACACTGAAGACCCGGGTTCGATTCCCAACGAGGGTACAATGTGTGAAGCCCTTTTCTGGTGTCACCGCCGTGATATTGCTGGAATATTGCTAAAAGCGGCGTTAAACCATACTCACTCACTCACTCACACCAAGTTATAGTGTACTGTAGAACTTTGTTTGAGAGATGATGCTAACAATTGTTAAAAATTTACACAGCCAGAGAAATTTAAAGACACTAGGATGGACAAAATAATATTCTGAAATATACTCATTTCTTAATGATCCACGTGCTTGGCATACAAGAAGAAAATGATACTCATTACATGGGCGGATACAGAGGGATGATGCGCACCCACGAGTGCGTGTATAGTGGTGGCAACCTTATGACGATAGTTAGGTCATGCCATGACCAAGGGAGGCTACTCATGGGAAATAGCGGCGCCCTAGACCACTGGGCCACCAAAAGCACTCTTCAGTGCAAAACACACATTACACCATACTTAACGATTTTGCGAGCGCTTTCGGCTAATGCTGACTGAGCACTCGGAGCAAACTTTGACAAATGAATAAATGTTAATTTTGTAAACAAACATATGAAAAGGGCCCCAAATATAGGGGTCAATTCGAAAGCTTATGGAGTTAAAATAAGCTCATTCCAATCAGTGTATTTGGTTTTCATCAAAGTTGTAATCGTCTAAGATATAATTCACTTCAGGCTTTTCTCCCACATCAAGCTGACACACCGTGATGTAATACTTATTGTAAGCTCTTTAAAGTGGCGTTAACCAACCAGTCACACACTGTTCAAGTTATCCAATTATAGCTTTAGATATAATTAGCCACGTAAGTGTCACATTTGCCGGACATCCCGACATCTGGGTGTAACATTACATAGCCATGCTTTTAACATTTCACATCCGGCTGTCAACGTGGGCAATGTCCACATGATAACGTAACACAGGTGCATGGCAATTGACAGTCAGGTGAAGATTATTTTATTATTATCTATTGTTAAAATACCTCTACAGAATGGTAGTTAGGGTAGTTGCACTGACAAACTATAGATGTTGTTATCACAATTTGATGGTGGAAGAAGGTAGAATTTTATGTCCGTTTTGAATCAGTTCAAGTGTGGCTTAGAATATCATTTCATGTCCATTCTTCTAAGAATTAATGGGACACGGGTGGCCCAGTCGTCTAAGGCAACTCGATTCGCTGTGCCGAGTTGCGTCGCTGTGCAGAGTTGTGTCCCTTTGGTACGCCAGAAACCTATGATTGTAGGTTCGAATCCCAGTTCGCCCCGATTATGTTTCTAGGTTTATCAGCACCATACCCGTACTCGTGGGTTTCGCCTAAGTGGTAAACGTCTGAGACCTGCATCACTTCGGGCTTTCCTCCCACATTAAGCTGACACGCCGTGATATAACTGGAATACTGTTAAAAGCGGCGTTAAACCCAACTCACTATAAGAATTAACAGCATCATTCTTGAAACCTATTTGTATTTCCCACTGGATGAAATTTCAGCAGTTATTATCAAGGAATTCATATATAATTACCTGTTAATATATAATATATTTTCTTAGGAAACGCTCAAAATTCCTTTTCATTATATTTCGCTTGATGGCGCTCCCTGCTAACATTATTTAGATCTTTTTGTAATGTATGATGGGCCAGTGGCCTCATTACTGAATAATACTCTCGATATAGGTAGGCAATGTCTGGGTTATTGATAAACTGGTAATACCTTTTGTATGCGCGACCACCTGGCCTACATTCATTTGCATTCAGAGAGCAGCTAAGGCTGGTCTTATATATCGGTCTTTTTGTCGGTTAAAGGGATATTTCTTACCGGGACACTGTTATTGGTAAGCAGGCTTTGGGAAATCGTTTGTGCTCACCCACATATGATTGCGTTTATACCTGAACAATAATAGCGTGACGCATATGCTTTAGGGAAACCAACACACAACGATAGCCATACGTGCACGAACTACCCTGTCAACATTTGTTTAATCTTTAGTTGTATTTTATAATCGGAACAACTTTATTCAAAGGCAAAAGTGGAACTATCTGTGTGACGAATGTGACAAGGCTAAAATTTAAACATGTACTAATATCCTCTGGGATAAGTAATATTGTAACATTTGAAATAGCTGAGTCCCAGTGTCTGTGCACATATGTTTTTAAATGGAATCAGATGTTAAAATATTTATTGATGATGATGGTTATAAAATATTGCTCATGTACAATTACAATTATACCAATGTACACTAGTCTAAAGCATTACAACCGCAAGGGCAAAGACCCCCGATCCATCCCTACTTTTGTTTACTGTTATATTTAATCTGGACTTAACTGGATATAACAGGTCAAGCAGAATAAAATTACCCTCCCCATTTTAAAACATTTTAAATGCACGTGGATATAAAATTCTGAAGACATAACAGCATCAAGCTATCTGTAAATGGAATGTAGCCTTAGACTCGGTCGAATTCGAAGGGTTTGGTAATCACAAACATGTAGATTTCCACGTTTCTCTAAGCTTACCTTCACTGTATTCGGACATGGCTGTGTCTGTTCCGTGGGGACTGGTGTGTTCACTTTGTATATACATGCACTGGTATTATCGGGAAGACCCGGTCACGTGGTCTGGTGTACGGTCGCATGGACGCAGTGTGTTTATGTGTTGTCAATATTTTAATAATATCAGGATGTGACTTGTCCTGTTACTGCGGTTCAGCTTCCTTGAATATACTCACTCCTTTCCTTTTGGTATGTGGCGCAATGTGTGTACTTGCACAGTGTCTTACACTGGGAGTGTGGGCTGGGCTGGGGTCGGCTGGGGTTGTTTGTCGTTGGTGGATGGTTGTGGTGGTGGTGGGTGGGCTGTGGTGGTGGATGGTTGTGGTGGGTGGGTGGGCTGTGGTGGTGGATGATTGTGGTGGTGGGTGGGCTGTGGTGGTGGATGGTTGTGGTGGTGGGTGGGCTGTGATTGTGGATGGTTGTGGGGGTGGATGGTTGTGGTGGTGGGTGGGCTGTGGTGGTGGATGGTTGTGGTGGTGGTGGGTGGGCTGTGGTGGTGGATGGTTGCGGTGGGTGGGTGGGCTGTGGTGGTGGATGATTGTGGTGGTGGGTGGGCTGTGATTGTGGATGGTTGTGGTGGTGGATGGTTGTGGTGGTGGGTGGGCTGTGGTGGTGGATGATTGTGGTGGTGGTGGTGGTGGGTGGGCTGTGATTGTGGATGGTTGTGGTGGTGGATGGTTGTGGTGGTGGGTGGGCTGTGGTAGTGGATGATTGTTGTGGTGGTGGTGATGGTGGGTGGGCTGTGGTGGTGGATGATTGTGGTGTTGGATGGTTGTGGTGGTGGATTGTGGCGGTGGTGGTTGGTGGGCTGTGATTGTGGATGGTTGTGGTGGTGGATGGTTGTGGTGGTGGATGGTTGTGGTGGGTGGGCTGTGGTGGTGGATGGTTGTGGTGGGTGGGCTGTGGTGGTGGTGGTGGTGGGTGGGCTGTGGTTGTGGATGGTTGTGGTGGTGGTGGTGGTAGGTGGGCTGTGGTGGTGGATGGTTGTGGTGGGTGGGCTGTGGTGGTTGTGGTGGTGGGTGGGCTGTGGTTGTGGATGGTTTTGGTGGTGGTGGTGGTGGTAGGTGGGCTGTGGTTGTGGATGGTTGTGGTGGTGGTGGTGGTGGTAGGTGGGCTGTGGTGGTGGATGATTGTGGTGGTGGTGTTGGTGGGTGGGCTGTGATTGTGGATGGTTGTGGTGGTGGTGGGTGGGCTGTGATTGTGGATGGTAGTGGTGGTTGTGGTGGTGGGTGGGCTTTGGTGGTGGATGATTGTGGTGGTGGTGGTGGTGGGTGGGCTGTGATTGTGGATGGTTGTGGTGGTGGATGGTTGTGGTGGTTGGGCTATGGTGGTGGATGGTTGTGGTGGTGGATTGTGGTGGTGGTTGGTGGGCTGTGATTGTGGATGGTTGTGATGGTGGATGGTTGTGGTGGTGGATGGTTGTGATGGTGGATGGTTGTGGTGGTGGTGGATGATTGTGGTGATGGTGGATGGTTGTGGTGGTGGATGGTTGTGGTGGTGGATGGTTGTGATGGTGGATGGTTGTGATGGTGGGTGGTTGTGGTGGTGGATGGTTGTGGTGGTGGTGGTGGTGGTGGATGGTTGTGGTGGTGGATGGTTGTGGTGGTGGATGGTGGTGGTGGTGGATGGTTGTGGTGGTGGATGGTTGTGGTGGTGGGTGGTTGTGGTGGTGGTGGTGGTGGTGGATGGTTGTGGTGGTGGATGGTTGTGGTGGTGGATGGTTGTGGTGGTTGGGCTATGGTGGTGGATGGTTGTGGTGGTGGATGGTTGTGGTGGTGGATGGTTGTGGTGGTGGATGGTTGTGGTGGTGGTGGTGGTGGTGGATGATTGTGGTGGTGGATGGTTGTGGTGGTGGTGGTGGTGGTGGATGGTTGTGGTGGTGGATGGTTGTGGTGGTGGATGGTGGTGGTGGTGGATGATTGTGGTGGTGGATGGTTGTGGTGGATGGTGGTGGTGGTGGATGATTGTGGTGGTGGATGGTTGTGGTGGTGGTGGATGATTGTGGTGGTGGATGGTTGTGGTGGTGGATGGTTGTGGTGGATGGTGGTGATGGTGGATGGTTGTGGTGGTGGATGGTTGTGGTGGTGGATGGTTGTGGTGGATGGTGGTGGTGGTGGATGATTGTGGTGGTGGATGATTGTGGTGGTGGATGGTTGTGGTGGTGGATGATTGTGGTGGATGGTTGTGGTGGTGGATGATTGTGGTGGTGGATGGTTGTGGTGGTGGATGGTTGTGGTGGATGGTGGTGGTGGTGGATGATTGTGGTGGTGGATGGTGGTGGTGGTGGATGGTTGTGGTGGATGGTGGTGGTGGTGGATGATTGTGGTGGTGGATGATTGTGGTGGTGGATGGTTGTGGTGGTGGATGGTTGTGGTGGATGGTTGTGGTGGTGGATGGTTGTGGTGGTGGTGGTTGATTGTGGTGGTGGATGGTTGTGGTGGTGGATGGTTGTGGTGGATGGTTGTGGTGGTGGATGGTTGTGGTGGTGGTGGATGATTGTGGTGGTGGATGGTTGTGGTGGTGGATGGTTGTGGTGGATGGTTGTGGTGGTGGATGGTTGTGGTGGTGGTGGTTGGGCTATGGTGGTGGATGGTTGTGGTGGTGGATGGTTGTGGTGGTGGTGGATGGTTGTGGTGGTGGATGGTTGTGATGGTGGATGGTTGTGATGGTGGATGGTTGTGGTGGTGGATGGTTGTGGTGGTGGATGGTTGTGGTGGATGGTTGTGGTGGTGGATGGTTGTGATGGTGGATGGTTGTGGTGGTGGTGGATGGTTGTGATGGTGGATGGTTGTGGTGGTGGATGGTTGTGGTGGTGGATGGTTGTGGTGGTGGATGGTTGTGGTGGTGGATGGTTGTGGTGGTGGATGGTTGTGGTGGTGGATGGTTGTGATGGTGGATGGTTGTGGTGGTGGTGGATGGTTGTGATGGTGGATGGTTGTGATGGTGGATGGTTGTGGTGGTGGATGGTTGTGGTGGATGGTTGTGGTGGATGGTTGTGGTGGTGGTGGTTGGGCTATGGTGGTGGATGGTTGTGATGGTGGATTGTGGTGGTGGATGGTTGTGATGGTGGGTGGGTTGTGGTGGTGGATGGTTGTGGTGGTGGATGGTTGTGGTGGTGGATGGTTGTGGTGGTGGATGGTTGTGGTGGTGGATGGTTGTGGTGGTGGATGGTTGTGGTGGTGGATGGTTGTGGTGGTGGATGGTTGTGGTGGTGGATGGTTGTGGTGGTGGATGGTTGTGATTGTGGATGGTTGTGATGGTGGATGGTTGTGGTGGTGGATGGTTGTGGTGGTGGATGGTTGTGGTGGTGGATGGTTGTGGTGGTGGATGGTTGTGGTGGTGGATGGTTGTGGTGGTGGATGGTTGTGGTGGTGGTTGGTGGGCTGTGATTGTGGATGGTTGTGGTGGTGGTGGTGGTGGTGGTGGATGGTTGTGGTGGTGGTTGGTGGGCTGTGATTGTGGATGGTTGTGGTGGTGGTGGTGGTGGGTGGGCTGTGATTGTGGATGGTTGTGGTGGTGGATGGTTGTGGTGGTGGATGGTTGTGGTGGTGGATGGTTGTGGTGGTGGATGGTTGTGGTGGTGGGTGGGCTATGGTTGTGGTGGTGGATGGTTGTGGTGGTGGTGGTGGTGGGTGGGCTGTGGTGGTGGTGGTGGTGGTGGGTGGGCTGTGGTGGTGATGGTGGTGGTGGTGGTGGTGGTGGTGGATGGTTGTGGTGGTGGTGGTGGGTGGGCTGTGGTGGTGGATGGTTGTGGTGGTGGATGGTTGTGGCGGTGGATGGTTGTGGTGGTGGTGGGTGGGCTGTGGTGGTGGATGGTTGTGGTGGGTGGGCTGTGGTGGTGATGGTGGTGGTGGTGGTGGTGGTGGTGGATGGTTGTGGTGGTGGTGGTGGGTGGGCTGTGGTGGTGGTGGTGGTGGGTGGGCTGTGATTGTGGATGGTTGTGGTGGTGGATGGTTGTGGTGGTGGATTGTGGTGGTGGTTGGTGGGCTGTGATTGTGGATGGTTGTGGTGGTGGATGGTTGTGGTGGTGGATGGTTGTGGTGGTGGATGATTGTGGTGGTGGTGGGTGGGCTGTGGTGGTGGATGATTGTGGTGGTGGGTGGGCTGTGATTGTGGATGGTTGTGGTGGTGGATGGCTGTGGTGGTGGATGATTGTGGTGGTGGTGGTGGTTGGTGGGCTGTGATTGTGGATGGTTGTGGTGGTGGATGGTTGTGGTGGTGGATGGTTGTGGTGGTGGTGGTGGTTGGTGGGCTGTGATTGTGGATGGTTGTGGTGGTTGTGGTGGTGGTGGGTGGGCTGTGGTGGTGGATGGTTGTGGTGGTGGATGGTTGTGGTGGTGGATGGTTGTGATGGTGGATGGTTGTGGTGGTGGATGGTTGTGGTGGTGGATGGTTGTGGTGGTGGATGGTTGTGATGGTGGATGGTTGTGATGGTGGGTGGTTGTGGTGGTGGATGGTTGTGATGGTGGATGGTTGTGGTGGTGGATGGTTGTGGTGGTGGATGGTTGTGGTGGTGGATGGTTGTGGTGGTGGATGGTTGTGGTGGTGGATGGTTGTGATGGTGGATGGTTGTGGTGGTGGATGGTTGTGGTGGTGGATGGTTGTGGTGGTGGATGGTTGTGATGGTGGATGGTTGTGGTGGTGGATGGTTGTGATGGTGGATGGTTGTGATGGTGGATGGTTGTGGTGGTGGATGGTTGTGATTGTGGATGGTTGTGATGGTGGATGGTTGTGATGGTGGATGGTTGTGGTGGTGGATGGTTGTGGTGGTGGATGGTTGTGGTGGTGGATGGTTGTGATGGTGGATGGTTGTGATGGTGGATGGTTGTGGTGGTGGATGGTTGTGATGGTGTTGGATGTTGGTTGTGATGGTGGATGGTTGTGGTGGTGGATGGTTGTGATGGTGGATGGTTGTGGTGGTGGATGGTTGTGATGGTGTTGGATGTTGGTTGTGATGGTGGATGGTTGTGGTTGGGGGTAGTTGTGGTGGTGGATGGTTGTGGTGGTGGGTCGTGTTGGATGTTGGTTGTGGCGGTGGATGGTTGTGGTTGGGGGTAGTTGTGGTGGTGGATGGTTGTGGTGGTGGGTCGTGTTGGATGTTGGTTGTGGCGGTGGA